CATTTCAAAGCCCCTTTCTAATCCCATTCCATCCTAAATCCTAAAGCCACCCCCCACCCCCCCTGAAAGAAACAAACTAGTCCCTCCCTTACAATACAAAGTCTTTTGTTGTATAAATGTAGAAATCATCTTATAGGTAGTACATATAGAATATAATCAATCATCCATTTTCCAGGAATAATGGTGTCTGCATTTGTGCAAGTCATGTTTTTTGTTGCTCCGTGTCAAATGTTTTCTGCCAAACAAACAAGTCACAGAACAACAAATGTTCTTCCCATTCACTGCGGGCTTGCAGGGGGATGATGAAGCTATCTTGTCAAAAGGGCCTTGTTGGCAATTTCACACAATGTACGTGAGAATTTCACGCTTTAACTAAAGTCGTGCTTTAGATTTCTTTTCATGTGAGGTGTGTGTGAGTGAAAAGGGATTTGATTTGAATGCTGATGCACAGCAGTAGTGCAGTTTGCTTTTGAATGTGTCAAAGGCCTCCCACATCTGCATCTTATGCCCTCATACTTAGACTTGACCTGTGTCACATTTTTCTGCTCCACAGTTAAATCTGTGAGCATATCTGTGTTATCTCGTTTCATCTGATATGTGTGAATCTCAGACCAATGTTTGAAATCGGTCTCTTCTGTTCAACATGTCTGACTACCAAAATAACACATTTAGTGTTATTGGTGTCATCAGACTTTTCGTTAGTGTGCTTTTTTCTTCTTTTTTTTTTTTTTGTTAAAGTGGATGAAATGCACTCTTCAAAGTTAAGTTTTCAGATTTCTTTTTAAAACTTGTCTATTGGTCAAAAGTGGTGGACATGCTAGATTATTGGAAATGACATTAGAATAGCCAAAAAGGGCACAAGCAGACAGCCGTCTTTGTTAATTGATCTGTTTGTATTGGTCAGGATTGGACTAAAATGTTTTTGCGTTAACCTCCAGGAGCTTTAAAAAGGCTGCTTGATGTTGTACCATTCAGTGCTGGTCTTGGTACAGAGCACGTCAGTGCTTAGAGCCTTCAACGACTCATGGACAAATGTGAAGCCCACATGTGACCTGGCTAACAATAACTGTGACTCTGTGGAAGCTAAAGCAGATTATTGTAGTAGTCTGGCCTGGCAATCTGTCTAAAGACATCCACTTCACTTCAGGTCACGAGATGCTCAGCAAAGAAGATTTATTGGGCTTGATCAATTCCAAATTACTGGCATACACAGCATCTTGCTCCCATTAAGCACTGCATGTGGAGGACAAGCTTTAACTACAGATGTAAAGTCATATGAAATCTATATTCAGTCTATAAGTGAAAAGGTCTTTATTTTGGCAAAGCCCCCTCTTAAAACAAAGTTTGAGTCAATATTGCTGTCATGTTCTTTTGTAGTGCTGAATGACAACATCAACATCAACTTGATTTGCACATACTGTACTCTATCCATACAGTATATGTGTCATTTACCATAACAACACACCTTTTTGGTGATTTAAGGCCCCAACCAAAAATCACAAAGTCCCTAGTTCGGGTCTGGCTGGGAACCTTTGTTGCACCTGTCATCTCTCTACTGTCTAATCTATAAGAAAGGCATGAAAATGCTCCAAAAGTATTTAATGTAACCGGAGTAGTACTCAGAGAAAACAGACCTCTGCCAAGGCCAATGTCAAACAACATACACCAGACTTCAAAGAAAAAAAATCTTATTCATAATAAATGATCATGACTTGCTTCTGGTTCTTCCCTGGTCCATGTCCCATCACTCCACCAAGTTTGGTGCAAATTGGTTCCGTACTTTTGGCGTAATCCTGCTGAAAAATAAACAGACATGGGTGAAAACATAGGTAATAATGTACTAATTTAGTGCTAAGACAAGCAAATATATTTCAGCCATGTTTGATGTTGTTATGACTTTGTGCATTGACAAATTTTAAAAGCATGTCAACTTCAGTCTGAAGAAACTTTTCTCGAAGCAAAAAAATGGTTTCATGGGTAATTCTCATTCGTTGTGATGCCCCAAATCAAACCAATCCTGTGCAAGTAGCTTTTAATTAATTGTCATTGATTGTGTAATCACTGAGAATTACACTAAATTATGTAATGACACACAACGCAACTCATTTGCTTCGCTAAAATTGGATTTAGCAGATTGACGTTTAATGCTGTCTGAAAACCTCACCATCATTGATTTATACTTTTGTAGATTTTCTTTATATCTGGTTACTGTTTGATATAACTGTAGAACAGATTGTATTACTGAACATCAGGCATCTTCCTATTAGTCAGATGATGTATGTGTGATGTTGAGGCTTTTTACAGCATGTCACAACTGTGGATTTAATTTCACTATAATATAAAATATATTAAGAATTAATAGTAAAGATGGAGGATAAATAGTTTTACTGACATTAATTCTGGATGTGCTGTGTGAGTAAGTTTTTTTTCTTTCAAGTATTAAATGGTAAGCATATTACTTTAATTTCCAGACTTAAAAAATGCACAAAATTGCAGGTCACATACACACTTGTGGAAGTATTTCAAGCCCACAGGTTCCAAAAGTGTTTGTTTGGCAGCCTCAGCAGATACTTGAATGGCACCAGCATTTTGCAACAGAGACACAGTAATTAGTCCACTGTTTATTGAAATAATGTTGCCTGTTGAGATGAATGTTGTGCTCAGAATATGTCATTGTGCACCATTAATTGGATAAACGTGGGCTGGAGGATGTGCTTCAGTGTGTAATGAAATGAGTAATGAAAAATGTCCAAAAAAATCTGTCTTGTTTAATTTTAACTGTAGTTTCTATGTCAGACAATGGAATGAGAGTTCACCACATTAAATGATAATTACATAGTGCTACTAATGATAATTGAAAGCAAGTACATATTTCAGTGACTGCCTGGTTGCCATTACTGATGAACTCAGTGCCCTGTCTGACAAAACTAAAATTTGACAATGATTACAGTTTAATTTTTGTATCATATAAACCATGTCAGTATCTTTGTGTATTTACTCAAGTGCTCTGTGTAAGTTCCTACTGAAATACATGTAGCATTAGTTGGTTTTGCTCATGAGTGCTTTTGGTCAGATGATCAGAGAAAATGGGCTCCATCACTCCAAACCAACAAGTCTTTTATTTACGAAGCTCCACAGTGCAACCTCGTCCTGCTGTGGCATAAATAAGAGGAGGAAATGCTCATTAGGTGCTTAATTGATGTTTAACTAATTAGCTAAAAGTCATATATTTGTTTCTGACTGATTCACACAGAGTTCCAACATTCATCAAGACTTTAGCGACCACTTACTCTTACGACTTTATTGCTTTTATAAATCTCATCTCTCAGAACCTCGGCGTCATAGAAAAAGCCCACTAACAGCTTTTAATTCCTGCTGCCTGAGGTCAATTCATGTGTGCTTTGATTCTTCTCATTACTTATGTGTAGGGTTCATATCAAGAAATATTCCTCCACAAATCCAAAAGAAAGCTCCCATATAACCATTGGCCAATTATGATGCGTGAAGACATTATTGTTAACCCCCGATTGGATTATTATATAACGAGAACAGTTTGCTACATTACATTTGGGCCACATGCTTATTGTGCTGTGGTCGATGATTCCCCGCTGGTGATTGTTTAGGCTTAGGCAGCAGTTCATAGTTAGCATGGATTAGCTTGAATTCAAGACCTGGCTACATTGAATTTATCAGACTGTTTCCAGTGAAATTGGCCTTCTGAATAAGGACAGTGGGGTTGAGGTGAGGGCAGAGAGGCAGCATGTCTGAACAAAGCAGATGATTTCAGCACCTGGATTTCCTGCATTGTTAAGTAACTTCAAACAGCAGAAAATATTGCCTATTTCCCTTAAAAAACAGTGATAACATTTCAAAGACTTGACTCAGTCAGTGTGATCAAACAGTAAAAAAATGTAGCGCTGCTTGTAAATAGGTCTTGCACAAAAAAGAACAAAAACGTAATGGTTGCAGTCTGCAGCCCTAATTGAAGTGAAATAAAACATTATTCCCAAATATGGGCAAAGAAATGTATAAATTATTTGGACATACTTGGTTTTTGTGTAACTGTCTTGTCCTCAGGATATGTGCTATCTGGTTACCTCTCCCTCAGTGTCTGTCCCTCACACTGTGCTGTCAGCCAGAGTTAGCATCACCTTTGCAGATCAGTAGCACAGGAATGCCATCCTCTCCTCTCGCTCTGGAGTGAGCACATATTGGCTGTAAGAGAGCTGCATCTCCCCTGCGTCAATGCTGTTTTCTAAGCCAGCCCAAATATGTCACTCACTGCAGCTTTTTCTGCAGCCGCCAGCTACAACCGAGTGCTGTCTGCAGCTGGGACGCCTCCCAGGCCGGCTAGCACACAAAGCTGTAAACGGCCCAACTCTTGCACCACAAACCATCCTGAAAGTCATAGCCAGGGCCTTTATCATCCCTGTGATACCGCTGTCAGAACTCATTAACTGATATGGATTCTGGCTCCTGTTAAATGAATGCAGCATTTTCAAAAATCATCTTGAGAGAATTTGTTTTCATTTTGGATAACCTGAACAATATGATATCAGAACATTGAGATTTATAATGGAGAATGATGTACAGTGTAATACAGGCTTTTCAGCAGATTTAGCTCCCTCTAACCCTGGACATTCTTGGTCATCCATGGTTCATGGATGCAAGTGATGCTTTTACAGCATTTAGGGTTCCTTCATTATGTGTGGCGCCTCTAGAAGTGATATTAAAAGCATCCAAATCCTCATTAAAAATTTATTTAAGCTGCATTGGGAGGAAAGATAAAAGCCAAACTAGCAATTTGAGAAAACACAGATGAAATCTGATTATTAAAAGCACAGGAAAAAAAGATATAAATTGCTAATTAGCGCTAGTGAGAGAAAAACAAGACAGGACAGAACTGTCTCAGGACAGAAATGATTAGTATTGACTATATTTATATATATTTTTTTTTCTCTATAGTAGAGACTCACCCTTTCTCTCTCTGTGTCTCACAGTCAATAAGCACAAACCATGGATTGAGACGACGTACCACGGGATTGTAACGGAAAACGATGACAAAGTACTTCTGGACCCCCCTCTAATTGCACTGGACAAGGATGCTCCTCTACGCTATGCAGGTGAGAGAGGAAGTTTAACGCTGCTGCTGCCGTTCTTTTAGTACCTCAGCTTCACTTAACTCGCAATTACTCTTCTCTCCTTTCACACTAAATAAAGAGAAAACACCCTAATTCCTCGGTACCATTAAAGCTTTGAGATCATGTAACGTGATGCATAGAGAAAATCTGCTCATGTATAAATAATGTGAGTTTCACAGACATTTCGAGGTCATTGATGTGTACATTTAAAGACATGCAAGCTGTTTGCTGGTGGATTATTTATAAACTGAACTAAATATTCTTGAAAAAGCTTTTCTTAACATGGAATACAACTGTATATCTAGTCTCAGCGTAATGCTTTGAAATCATGAGTATGTTGATAGGTCCCTCTTCAGGGTGTTTTATTATCTATAACTCTCATTATTTCTGTGATATAGGTTATATTTGACATTATATGTGTGATTAAATCATCACTGGCTCAGTAGTTCTGGAGGAAATCACTTTGCTCAATATTTAATACATTATTTGGTAGCTGACATGTGTGACTCAATGGCATTCTGCACATTTCATTCTTTATGACAGGCCCGTCACACTGACATACAGCTGGCTTCCATATCCACCAGACTGGCCCTTTTGATATTCAGATCAAAATACTCTTTCATGTTCTTTTGCTCTCAGTGGAGAGGCACAATTAGTGTGCTTATGTACCAAGGCAGTATTAGCTCTGGGGCTTTCTAATCACATCAGGATTGACTTTGGCCAGGATTCAAAGCACCACAGAATTGGAAATGATTTCCCTCCATTTCATGTCACACGAGTAGTGTGATCTGTTGTCTGCAACTCTCTTCACACTCACTCCACTTGATATGACCATTTTTATCTCAGATTACTTCTCCTGATTTAGCAAATGAGGCTTTAAACATCCACGTGCCTGTGAGAGGGGATGCCAAATGTAATATTCTTCACAAAGTTGTGCGAAATGTGGTAGTTCAGCCTGAGCAGCACACAGTCTTTTAAGCTGGACAACTTCAGCAAGAGGCCCATCGTTTCTGAAGGGCAGGGACTTCAATAAGATCCCCATTCTCTGCATGATGTTTGTGTCCTTTCATAGTAAATTAGCATTGAATGCAGAGCTTGGTTCTCCCTCTTCTTTCAATGGGGGCTCCCTTTTTGATGAGCGAATGGACTATGTGTCCCTGCGAACTAGCTCTCAGGAGACAGAGCAAGCAATCTGGCCTCACGTGGCAGCAGGGGTGACCAGTCCTGCCGTGCCAGCCTCCTTCTAGTTGGTCCATCTGTGCTAACAAGCAGGGTTCACTGTAAAGCTGACCCACAGGCCATCCAAAAGCCCAATCATGAGCTCTTAAGTCAGATCAGTGTGAGTAGGTGAATGCTTAGCATAAACTAGGAGCCACTGTATTTGCCTGTGAATATAAGGGTGATATACTGTGAGAGTGGCTTTAAGTGTGTCTTTCTGTGTGTTTTGTGCATGTGAGTTCAGTCAGGGTAATTGGAGCTAAAATAGTTGAAACCCAAAGCCCTTGCAAACTTGAAAATGAGCTCAGTGTTCATAGATGACTGCTCTAAACCAGGAGACGAGCACAAAGCAGAAGGATTTACACAGCAGATCTGGGTTATTTGATTCATAGATGAATAATAGACCAGGTGAGAGAAAGAGATACCCTTGTTCCTGGAACACCTTTCCTGCAAATAGCATAAGATGCCACTGAATGTGCAGCATTGGGTGTGAATATTCTGCAGGTCCACTACAGGTCAAGACTGTAAAACCAATATGTACGGTGTTGGCCGACTCGATCTGAGGGTACGTCCACACTACTGTGTTATCATTTGAAAAGGATCGCTGTCCAGACGAGCTCTGTATCAGAAACGATCTCCCTCCAGACTACCACACCTGAAAACACATACATACCTTAGCAATCACGTACATGGTTGACAGAGTAAACAGGAAGTAGATTGTTGATTAGTTGCAAAAAATACTAAGAACGAGGAACAGCAAAGACAGCTGCAGTGTTAAAATGCAGAATTTAACAAGGTCAGTAACACCTGTATTTCATTATCATGTAGAATTCATCACTGTTGGTCGAGGCTGATGAGACCCAATCACGGAGTGACCGTGGGTGTCTACGTCATGGTTTCCAAGAGGCGAAAACAAAGCAAAACAGATGCGTTTTTAAACGGAAATGTAGTAGTAGTGTGGACATAGCCTGAGCTGAGACGCCTGTGTGACCAGTGAAAAGCTGAGGAATTCCTAAAGCCCTGGTGTGAGCTGGTCATTAGAGCTGGTCATAGTGAACTCGGAGGCCCACAACTCCCACAGCATTACTGGCCCTCGAGAGCAGCCCCTAATGTGAAATCCATTTCTAATTGTTTAGTAGGTGAAAACAAAATGACCAGGTCCGTCCCACTGGAGGCCCTGACAGGGCTTTAAAACAAACAACCAAGCAGAAAAGGATTTCATTCACCATTTTATTCACTTGTGCTCCCAAGATTTCTTTTTCTCATCTTGAAGTATGTATTTTAAATTCTTATCAAACAGAGTGATTTTATCCACATATCAAGTAGTTTCCAGAAAGCAGAAGTGTGATATTTTCAGATGTAAGATGAACTTGTTAAAGGTATTAAAAAGGGAAATTTCTATTTGTTGTAATTGGATGTTCTTTGACTTTTTCACTAGTCATTTCCTCTAAAAGGATTTGGTTAATAAAACTTCAAAGACTCTGAGACAGCCATCTTTTCATACATGTTTTAATCCTTCCTTTCTTTCAAATGGCAGAAGGTGAAAGGTTCTGTAAGCTTATAGCAAGAGTATGTTTCCTTCCTGTCCTCCCTGTGTTTTCTCTGATCTTCTAACTCTTCTTTTAACTGATCTGGATTTATCTTCTCTCCCTTCCTTGTAGAGAGTTTTGAGGTGACCCTCACTGAAGAAGGTGATCTTGGGCTCTTTCTTCTGCCTTGTGCTTAGTTGTTACTATTAACCCACTAACGCAAAAAACAGCATCCACACGTTTACACAGAAACTCCCGCCATGCTCTGTAATCTCCCCATTTGGTTTTCTCAACTTTACGTTTTTCTCACCCTGAATATTTTTGGAGTTCCAACAGCTGGATGAAAAGTGTGATGTGGGGCTGACTGTACTTAGAAATATCTGTGCATGAGACATCCATTGCAGTTTGCAGACCCTAACAGTTTTTCAGCTGTCACCAGGAGACAGAAAGCTGCTTAAAACAGGAGCTCTCAGTCACTTTGTCGCCATTTTGTCCATCCAATCCTTTCAGTTAAAGACGATGGAAGGAAAATCCAAATTTAAGATAATTTCATAAAAATGTAAAATCTAAAAGGACGCATAAGACGATTGCATAACCTCTCAACACTCTTGGCAATTGGAGCAGAAATTGACAATGAAATTATTAGTTCTGAAACTGTGATCTTCTCAAAGGCACCAACCATGTTCGTTGTGCCTCTCTGTGACCCATCGGATCTGTGCAGGTAGAGTGACTCCTGTGGATTTTTCTGACATTTAAATCTTCAAATGAAAGCTGCTGAGATTGTTAACTAATGCAAACTCTCTCTGCTGCAAAGTTTCTGTTGTTGCATCTTTGCCTCAGTGGATCTCTTGAGTTAATTCTCCACCACTAATCTCTACCATTAGCATGGCTGCAGTTGTCATTTGATGTGGATGTCAAGCAAGTTGATATTTCTAACCCCAGTTCTCATCCAGTACTTTTTGTTTGAATACTGTTATTGTACCAGTTTAGTTTTCTATGATTTTATGATTTTATTTGGATTCATTTTGCAGTAGCTTTGGGTGAGAGGCAAAATTACACAGGAAGACTTCCTTTAATTATGAAAAAAAAATATACTTATCATATTTTAGGTGTTGTCTGAGATTTTTTTTTCTTTCACAGACCTTTTGGGGTTTTGCTGTATTGGTGCTGGATCCCGTTATCACAGTGCTCTCTATTGCAAAGAATTTAAATTTTGCTTTTATTTCTTTTATTTGATCATTTTTTTCTCTCGTAAGATAAGTTGTATTATTCATTACAGAGATAAATGATCTTCACTTCAGATATTGTTCTCTGTGTACTTATGTTTTGGTCTTGGTTTCATGACTTTGATTTATAGTATCTTAAGTACTCCTGTGAAATGCCTGTCCACATCTTTTCGGTTTCTGCCTGCATGACTGGATGCAATGTTTTCAAGTGGCTTGGAAAAGACACTCGTCTACTGATATTAAATGTCCCACACCCTCTCCCAACCCCCCTCCCCCAAACTACTCACCCATATGACAGTGCTTTTGGGCTTCCTCCACAGACACCACCCACCCCAATCTACAACTCCCTGGCTCCCAAAAACTGTGGCTGATCTTTTTTTTTTCTTTCTTTTGCGTGAATTCATGGTTTCTTTGCTTGTACATAATTGTTCCTTTTGAACAATAAAGTTTCACACCTGTCCTCAGTTATTCTGAGCAAACTCTCTATTGACTCTTGACGTGTTCAGGTGAGATTTGCGGCTTCAGGATCCATGGGCAGAATGTCCCCTTCGAGGCAGTGGTCCTGGACAAGTCCACTGGCGAGGGGGTCATCCGGGCCAAGGACAAGCTGGACTGTGAGTTACAGAAGGAGCACACCTTCACCATCCAAGCTTATGACTGTGGCGAGGGTCCTGATGGCGCCAACATGAAGAAATCCCACAAGTGAGTCAACCTCTGTTCCCATACACAAATGTAATATATATACATATATTACATTTCTGTATATGACATATATGTACATATAAAATAAAAGCACATAATTATATATGAAACCTGCTAGAAGTTGGGACAGTTGTCATATATTGACATATATCTTGCCCATACAAATGTGTATGTTTATATATCACTATATTGTACACATATGTTACATAAACACATTTATCCTAAAGCCTGTCAATATATTTTGATATTCTAAACGGAAGGGTCCAAAAGTCTGAGAATGTGAAGATAGACATGTTTAAATTTAATTAGAAAAACATACACACACACACACATATATATATATATTTTTTTTTTTTTATGTATGTTTTAATAAGGGGCGGCATGGTGTTTCAGTGTTTAGCACATGCCCCTTTCAATGTGGAGTTTGCATGGTGTCCCTGTGTCTGCGTGTGTTCTCTCCGGGTACTTCGGCTTCCTTCAGTAGTCCAAAGACATGCACATTAGGTTAATTGGCGACTCTAAAGTGCCCATAGGTGTGAGTGTGAGTGGTTGTGCGTCTCTGTATGTCGGCCCTGTGATAGACCTGTGTGTACCCCGCCCTTGCCCAATGTCAGCTGGCATCGGCTCCAGCCCCCCGACCCTATAAGGATAAGCAGTATAGATAATGGATGTTTTAATAAATGAAATAAATATCATTAATGCATATCTTCATCTATCCAGAGGATTTACATATGCGATAAAAAGTGACATATATGGCAACATGACTCTTGATATCGGGACATATATTGTCATATATTACATTTGTGTATGAGTTGCTAATTTATTAAAAAAGAAAAACTGAAATATCACATTGACATAAGTATTCAGACACTTTGCTTGTCAGTTGATATTTAGCTCAGGTTCGTCCCATTTCTGTTGATCATCTTTGAGATGTTTCTTCACCTTGATTTGAGTCCACCTGTTGTAAAGTCATTGATTTGACATCATTTGGAAAGGGACACTCCTGTCTGTATAAGGTCTCACAGATGATAATGCATATCAGAGCAATAACCAAGCCACAAGGTGAAGGAACTGCCTGCAGAGCTCAGAGACAGGTTTGTGTCAAGGCACAGGTCTGAGGAAGGCCGCAAAAAACATTTTTGCTGCACTGAAGGTTCCCAAGAGCACAGTGGCCTCCATAAAGAAGTTTGGAACAACCAGGACTCTACCTGGAGCTGGGAGAAAGTTTGAAAATGACAGCCAATTCTTAGCATCACGTTATTGCTTGGTTTTTTTCCCAAAATTTATTTTCCAAATGGTGTCCAATCAATGACTTTACCACAGGTGGACTCCAAACAAGGTGTAGAAACATCTCAAAGATGATCAAGAGAAATGGGAGGCACCTGAGCTAAATTTCAAGTGCCATAGCAAAGTGTCTGAACACTTATGTCAATGTGATATTTCAGTTTTTCCTTTCCATTTCTAAAATTCTGTGTTGAGTGTAGATTGAGCAGGAAAATTTTAAATGTTTTTAATTTTACCATACGATATGAAAAAATTTGGGTCTGTATACTAAGTCCCTGTACCTGATCTGAACCCTGAGTTTCCCTCTGTCTTAACCAGATTCTTTTAGTTCACTGTAGTTGAAACAATCTTTAAAAAGTCTTGCTTCAAAGCAAATGACAATGGAATAAATATTGATTGGAAACATAAAACAAAAACTTGCCTTTTCAATAATTCAAGGAACTTTCACACCTAATTCATTTGGTACGGTTCATATGAAATCTGGTGCATTTGCCTGTTTGGTTTGTGATGTGAAACCAAATTGTGTGAATATATGCAGATGTGTGATGTGATTTCTTTTCTTTTTTTTTACTATAAACTCAGCCTCTATTACTATTAAATTGATCTGCTGATTGTGGGAACTGTTCAGAGCGAACCGTATAATTATCCAAAATCAATTGGTAACCATGGTAACATGAATGAAAGGAGCTAGTTTTATTTATTATCTTTTTGGAAATTCCCTTTGTATCTGTTGCTAATATCAGATAAATACAATAACAACAAAAGACATTACAATTAAAGACCGACATCAAACAGCTATTCCCCTTGATTTCACAGTACGACGCACTTCTTTTTCATCCTGTTTCTACGTGTCTATCATTATTTATGACATATAAGGTCCAGTTGTGGTCTGCACTATGAATGCTCGAAATCAATTATTTCTTTGTGAGCAGCATGACTTGCAACCAGATCAGTAAGTTTCCCGTCAGTCCATATGATTTTACTCTTACGTTGAACATGAAATGGACCAACTGAAACAGTCTACAGGTATGAAAGCCGCTGTACTCATCCATCCAACAGGGATCATCATAGAAACGATCTTGTTAATCGATTTTTTTTTCCCCACTGTATCATCTCTAAATCATCATGGAGTGTGACAATAGAATATTTTGCTTTGGTTGTATGTCTTTGAACATCCCCAGTTGACTGTGTCCTAACTTGAATTTGTCCCTCTCAGGGCCACTGTCCACATCCAAGTGAACGACATCAACGAGTATTCACCAGTGTTCAAGGAGAAGTCCTACAAAGCCACCGTCATTGAGGGAAAGAAGTACGACAGCATCCTGAAGGTCGAGGCCGTGGACGCCGACTGCTCGTTCCAGTTTAGCCAAATCTGCAACTATGAGATCGTCACCCCTGATGTGCCCTTCACCATCGACAAAGATGGTAAGGACGTTCGCGCAGCAGCCTTGTTGGAAAAAGCTGCAGCGCGTGTCTTTAAGAACCATGATTTTATTGACACACATCAGATTGTCTATTGATCTGTGTAAACAATGATGCCACCAGACTGTCATTTAAAATTCACTGCAGCTTGTTGGCTTGTGAGACAGCGACAGTCTCCTTCAAATGTCACCCAGGTTTGTCAGTCAACAAAATTAAAGATCCAGTGAAGAAAGACATTAGATATCCAGGCTGAGCTGATATGACGCTGGCTCTTACAAAAAGGAAATAGGAACATGTGATAATGTGAGGAGAACAATCAGTGTGAAGATACATAATGTTGGTGACAGTGTTCAACTGTGACAGATAATAAGTGTTTGAGGTGGAAATAAAAAAAAAAAAAACCTGAGACGGTATCTGATCTTAGTGAAGCAGATTCTGCAGATAATTTTCTTTTAATAACTTGAATACTAATCAGATTCTGTAAACGCGTTCGCTTGGTAATGAACTCTCAGTATAGCATGTCAATGAAAGAGATGCAAGTCAGAATATTATGCTTTTAGTTCAGTGATGGTGAATCACTTTTGGGCTTTTTGTGTGAAGATTTCTATTTGGCTGTTTCATGTAAAACACAGTCTCTTTTGGTTTTTCTACCAGTTGTCTGACTCGTTTTTGTTTCACTAAAGTTTCTTGCACATCTGCAGCTTTGAAGTAATACAACGAGCGGCCCAGTCACTTAAACTCTCATTTTGTTCCTGCCTCGCTCAGGCTTCATCAAGAACACAGAGAAACTGAGCTATGGCAAAGAACGCATGTATAAGCTGACTGTGACCGCCTACGACTGTGGAAAGAACCGTGCCTCTGAGGACGTGCTGGTCAAGATCAGCGTTAAACCCACCTGCAAACCCAGCTGGCAAGGTATCAAAGCCCTCCTCCACTCACTGTAGCTCCCCAACCATCACTGGTGAGGTGTGTCTCTGTTTTGAACAAAAGAAATCCACCGACGAAGAGTCCACACAGGCTGCCATTGTCACAAAGGTTATTTAACTCCTTTAAGCCAGAGGGCCTTTTCTATGGTTTGAAAGAACTGAAGTACTTCTTAATGAGTAATTACCATTAACAGCCCCTGTACTGACTGCTCATCTGTTGTCTGGGCTGAAGGACATCTTTTCACTCTCTCCCTTCTCTCTTCCTCCTTCAGGCTTCAGTAAGAGGATTGAATACGAGCCTGGCACAGGTAGCCTGGCCCTTTTCCCCAGCATGCACTTGGAGACCTGTGATGAGCCAATCACCTCCATCCGAGCCAGTATTGAATTGGAGACCAACCATATTGGGAAGGGCTGTGACCGTGATACTTACTCTGAGAAGTCGCTGCACAAGCTTTGCGGTAAGGAACTGCTCCACTGGACATAGTTATTGTCAGCAGTAGAATCAGAATTCTTCTAAGTCCTGTCTGCTCTGTCTTCTTGGATTTTATTTTTTTTTTAGGAGCCAGTTCCGGCACTGTGGAGCTCCTTCCTGCACCCAGCAGCTCCGCCAACTGGACGGTCGGGCTGCCCACTGACAACGGACACGACAGTGACCAGGTGTTTGAGTTCAATGGCACCCAGGCCATCAAAGTCCCTGACGGCATGGTGAGCACCAGCCTGAAGGAGCCCTTCACCATCTCTGTCTGGATGAGACATGGCCCTGGGGCCCATGAGAAGGAGACCATCCTCTGCAACTCTGACAAAACAGGTAACATTTAAGCAACAACTGGACTGTGTCAGAGGTCCAGTTTGACTTTGTTTGATTGTCGTCTAAGTTCAGTTTAGTTTACAGGTAGTCAACTGTAACTAACTAACTCCATTCTAATACTAAGACTATTGCGAATAAAGTTTGTTTACATCAGTAATATTTGTAAAGACTACTAAATAAAAGGGATGGACAGTTCACGTCTTTGTGAATCTACATTTTGTTTCAACAGTCAGACTTCCGAAAAAATACATAAAACACCTACCATGCAATACCAAGTATTGTATGGACCAGACAGGCAATCTATTATCTGAAGATTTCAGCAGTATGCATTAATGATGTGTGCACACACACATTAAGATTCTCTCATCTCAATAAATGAAGTTCAGACAAAAACAGGACTTTACATTAGCGTGATTGTACTAAAGTAAACTTTGACTCCCGTTGTAAGAGCCTCGGTTTCACAATTGGCGAAATTGCGCTTCTTTCTGGGCTTTCTTTCTGTACCATTTCTGATCACTTGCGGTGCAGACTTGGTTTTTTTTCTCATGCAAACTGATTGCTTAAGGGAGTGGCTTCATCAATTTATGGATAATTGTGGGAGGGGAAATGAGGCTCGTGCACATGTGTCCAATTTCTCAGTAAGTGAGATTTATAAAGTGGAACGGCTTTATAATTCTGATGAAAACAATACATATGTATTGTAGTTTTAGTCATGAATCTACACTGAGTTTTATGCATCTGGTTTCTAGTGTCTAGTGAGGGGTTTATTTAATTCTCATGATCGCTGCACATATGGTGTCTGAAAATATGCTCTCTCTATATCTAATAAAAAAACATTGTAACTCCAGGCTATAATCAGTGTTAGTGCTCAGCTGGCTGGCTAACACGCTTCAAACACACTTTTAATATATCACCTCTGCCGAGCGCTGGTTGACCTTTCCTTTTTTGTCACTCGTTGTAAATTTTGCGTGTGGTCACAAGCTCCTTCATCTTATTGACTGTAAAGTCGGTGCCGTGGCCAGTGAGGGGGGAGGCGCAGTTCATCAGCTTCTGTCCGCCTGCTTATATAAGAAGGATTACATCAGAATGGCTGCGTCCAGGACAGGAAGCTCCCATACCCATGATCTCAGCACCATTCATGACCTCCATTCAACACAGCGTATGCTTCACAGAACCATGAACGTGTCACGTTCTGTTCATTTCTTCTACATTTTAGTATTTGGTTCTTAATAATGAAAATACATTTTAAACACTAAAACTGTGAAGCTTGGCTCAACATTTTGGGGAGAAAAAATCATCTTCACTCAAATGAATCTGTTAGTTCAGTGAAATGCACATCACAATTCACCAGGATGCTTCTTAATTAGTCTGACCGCCACTATCCAACTATGAGACCGCCGTTATGAAAAAAGCAAACAGACAAATCTTAATATTTGTGAAGCAGCAAGTGGTTTGTTTTTAATGAAAATGAATGAAAACTATTAATACATTTTTCAAAATGATAAATTGTATTGACATGTTAGTTCAGTAATTGATTAAACGTCTCATACTAGACTTGGTTAATTATGCTTTAGCAATGTTTTTACTTTCACTCAGTGCGTAGATGTTTTTTAAGACGCAGCCTCTGAGGTCTGATAAGGAATGAGCTTCACAGTCAATTTAAATTATCTAGACCTACAACCTGATGTTGATGACAGTTTTTGTCAGAAAATGTTTGTAATAGACTAGTCCTGTTTGGTACAAAGTTTATATTTTGAACGGTGTTGTTTTTGATGACTTCCTCCAAGAAAACAAGTTACAGTTGCATTTCCAGGTTAGAGAGCAATACATATGGTAAAAGGAGTTGGTTGTGGAACTGGTTTCATCTTCTCTGCCTTTGAGAGCCTGTTAAGGCATGCTGTAAATCATAAGAGCAAGAATTGGCATAATTGTCATTAGCTGTTGACAAATCCCAGTAGTTACACATTTAAAATGGGATTATTGTTTTTTAATCATCAAATACATAGTGATGAAATTGCAACTTACAGAGCTTACATGTAATTTACTGAGCTCTTTTGGGAAGAGATTAGTAGTAAATATGAAAAAATGAATACCATAGCTCAAATAAGATTTAAGAATTTTCCCTGTTATCTTACTGTGTGGTAGTTTCTTTTTTTGCTTCTTACAGACTCTAAAAATTCAGCAGCTGACTGTTAAAAATGCTAATAAGTTTCTTTTCATTCTTGTGTTGGCGCCCTTGATTATACATTTTCCCAACCTATCCACCAAATAATTTTTCACATCCTGATCTCCTCTCTCATCCTCTCCTCTGCAGAGATGAACAGACACCACTACTCGCTCTACGTCCACAACTGCAGACTGATCCTTCTCCTCCGTCAGGATCCGTCAGAGGCCGAGAACTACAAACCAGCCGAGTTTCATTGGAAACTCGACCAGGTCAGCCTCTTCTGCTACCAAACTAACAACATGATATTTAAGATAACAGCGAGTTACAGTGTACTGTGTAACTTTCACAGTCTGGATTTCAGCTTTTCATTCCCTCTGTTGTGTCGTCCTTAGGTGTGCGACAAAGAATGGCATCACTATGTGCTGAATGTGGAGTTCCCCACCGTGTCTTTGTTTGTGGACGGGACGACCTTTGAGCCCTTCCTGGTTACAGAGGACTACCCACTCCACCCCTCCAAGATTGAAGCTCAGCTCACTATTGGTGCTTGCTGGCAAGGTAAACTCTTAAAGAAATGTTTTCTGGGGAATGCTGCGAAATGAAATGAGTCATAATTCTCTTGTTTGACAGAAAGTATTAATTTCCGAATAAGTCAGAAGCGCGATACATCGTAAGGAAAAACGTGAACCCCTCTGTAACATTTGACTTTTTTGTTAACTAGTAAAAGGTACTGTAATGCTGCCTGGTGATCTATTATTCCCTTTGATCAGAGCTTGTGTAAAATATAGCGTGCATGTTATTTTATTGTCAGACAGTATTAACTCTCTTAGATTCTCAAATAATGCACCATGACCTTGTATGTAGCATTTGAATCTCTCCTGCAGATCCTCAATCTTCCTCCCTGTCTCTCCCTGCTCTCTTGTTTCTGTCCTTTACAGACAACTCAGGACATGACAATGACACTGAGACAGTCTCTGAGCCCACCTCAGGTTGCTCAAGTCTTTCCCTTACTCCTCAGATATGTCCATGTGTCCACAATGTCCCACCACGCTAACTGCATCCTCATACCATTAAGACTAGAATGATTCTTATACATTCTAGATGCAGAAAGATTTCTTTTTTCATAACTGCGGCATGATACAGAATGAATGACACAGGTGTGATTTTTATGCTGCCTGATCATGTTTTTATTTTTTGTTTATTTGTTTTTTTGCATTTTCTTCATCCTCCATTTATACGCTCTGCTCACTGCAGCGGCCAGGAAGCTGTTTTTCACAACAACCTGATACAGAAGCAGAACAGAAATAGATAATATAATGAACACAAAACTCTGACCTGGCTGCAGCATTTTGGATGTAAAGGCTCTTCTTTCAGAGCATGACCTTGGGGTCAGAAGCAGTAGCTTCTCTGTATCAGATAACACAGCTACAGCAGCACACACACACACACACACACACACACACACACACACACACACACATATATATATATATATATATATATATACGCACGCACACACACACACACACACACACACACACACACACACTCTGTGTGACCTTGAGATGTGGAAGACCAGGTTTGTTTCTGACTCTGCAGTGGTGCAGATTTATGCTCATTATGGTTTAGCAGGAAGACACGATGCAATTGTTTCACCTCTGATTCAACAGGGCATGCACCTCACAAGAATATTCAAACACTCGGTTATAATGAAATTTCAAGGCTCCAAATTTCAGATCATTTTTGTGTATTTTGCATACCTCAGGAATGGTTCCACTATAACACAAGGTGACTAAAGAGGATTAATTCCATCACTATCTAAGATAATCCCTTCTTTGAGTTTCCTTTTTTTTCTGTTGATACCATTTTTTCCACAGTAAGGCAGCAGCTCACCCTGTTAATGCAGATGTTGCATGTGTCTACGGCTTGTATGAGCTCATCCATGATTCTTCTGTCTCGCTCTCTTGGCCCCGGGCCATGTAAGGGCACACATACTAACTTGCATGAACGCCATTCACACCAGCTTTGCACATTGAGAGGGCATGCTTGAATCGCCAGCCCAGAAAAGGTGACGTCTGTGGAATGTACACTTCAGTAACTGCTTTTTATGTGTGTTGTTACTGTTTTCTTCTCCGCATCTCGATCCTGACGTATCCAGGAGGAAACGCTCGAATGGCTCAGTTTTTCCGGGGGAACCTGGCGGGGCTGATGATCCGCTCCGGCAAACTGGAGAACAAGAAGGTGATCGACTGTCTGTACACCTGCAAGGAGGGCCTGGACGTGCAGCTGCCTGAGGAGGTGGCCTCAGCTGTCAAGGTAAGAAAGGCAAATAGCTTTAGAAACACTCTGGGTCTGAGTGTATTTTCAAGAAGACGGTCTAACTTTTAGGCTCGTGACCTTCAAGGGGAAGCAAAGTTTACTCTCAACTCCTTTCACAAATAGAAAATCAAAAATAATGAATCATTTGGAGGACCCTGACCCCAGAGTTCATATCCACTGCTCTGAGCGAAATAGTATTTTTACATTAAGTTTTCACACTTCGGATTCATGACTTGATGATTTACTATCACCGTGACGACACACTAATACATTTTTGGGTGTAAATGAAAGCCTGCCAGCTTAAGGAGACAATATTGCCTCAAATGACACAGTCCGTCACCTTGTTTCCTTCTCTCAGGTGGAGTTCAACCCGAACCAGTCCTCTCTGACTGTGGAGGGTGACGACATCGATGCCTTTGACAAGGTCATGCAGCACATCTCCTACTTGAACTCCCGCCAATTCCCTACTCCCGGCATCAGGCATCTTCGCATCTCCACCACCGTCAAGTAAGCAGCAGAAGCCGAAAATACTTCACCACGTGTTATGATCTTCTCTGTCGTGTCACCTCACCTGTCAGTCAGCAGCAGCCCAACCTTCATGAGGCAGCTTCTTTCTGCCTAATAGACATTCAGAGAGGGTTCGTCTTTTTCCTTCAAATCCAAGGATGGTTTGTTGAAGTAAAATAGAGGTCAAGAGTTTTATCTGATTTCCATAACAAAGAGAGTAAACGAGATGTTTTGGTTTTGAAGAATGACAGACAGAAGAGCTGTATGATTCTGTATTTTGTTTTCTTAATCTCTTGGATGTATTCAGAGAGTGTGGGTGTGAGTAACAAAACAGTAGCACATTTACAGATGACATGTATGTAATTGTATTCTGACTCTCTGGTTTTTGTTGAGCCTAATCCAATATCAGCTCCAGTGAGTGTTGCAGTTTAATATTTGTTCTGAATCATCACTGAGTGTTAGTGGGTGGACTGAGCAACTAGACCAAATGACTAACTTTTCTCCAACCTACAATTTCTACCTGTGAGGTCAACTTTTCCTGATGGTGGTGCTGATCGCCCTGCCTGAACAGGACATGTGTAACGAGATTATGGAAGCAGGAACCAGCAACTTCATCGAAAAAAAGAAAAAGGATAAAAGAGTGAGGTGCCCAGGTATTCAAACTTAAATCTTCCCCCAGATGCTTCAATGAGGAGTCCTGCGTAACGGTGCCAGATGCTGAGGGTTATGTGATGGTGCTGCAGCCTGAAGAACCCAAGATCAGCCTGAGCGGCATCGACCACTTTGCCCGCAGCGCTGCCGAATTTGAGAGCCAGGAAGGCGTGACGCTCTTCCCCGAGCTCCGCATCGTGAGCACCATCACCCGCGAAGTGGAGGCTGACGCCGAGTCTGAAGCTGCAGAGGGAGCTGATGATGATCCCACGGGTAGGCGAAAGGCACACTGGATGCCTGAGTAACCCTTGGCAATGTTAAAGGCAATGCGGATTGTTTGTATTGTTCACTTGATAACCTGCTCATCCCCTGAATTATACATGCTGACTTTCCACTTTAACACTGCCATATATTTGATCTTACTTTTGAACACAGTGAATGTAGAGTTGATAGCTGTGGGTCATAGAGTAGCTGCAGGGGATTATGTCTGGAGGACGAAGGGATTGGACAGACAGAGCAAATGGGAGGGAGCGAGAAAAGAGATAAGTTGTTTACTACTTTATGGGAGGGGTCAGTTGACCAGCCGCGCCATCTGTTAGGCCTGTATATGAAGAGGCAGAGACAATAAACGTGCACTGAGGTTGACACAGATACAGGGAGATACGATGTCCTGTGGTGAACAGCAGGCCATATGGGACAAAAGGGCTTACAGAGATCTGTTGCTATTACCTGCTCCAACTTATGCAACCAGCAAATGAGATGTCACAGTAGATTAAGAATCACTTAATAGAAGTCAAAAGGTGCAAAGTGTATGTGCATGAAATATTCATTTGTTTCGTAAGCAAAGTGAAGAAGACGGGCTGCCTCAGCTGGGCTATTAAAATATAGTCAAATTAAAATGAAGTATTAAAATACCTTTCATTTGTTTATGTATTTCTGATGTCTTACACCTCTGTTCTTAAAAGTAAGAGATGATTTACAGAAGATAAACTTCTGATGACACAGTAACACGATGCTGCTTTTTAACACTAAACATGGAACATATTTGCTGTTAACAGCACTGTGGTCAACTTGAAGGATTTCATGATGAAGGACAGATATGTCAGTGTGTATGAGGTATTAGATAGATATAGATAGATATATACTTTTTTATCCCCTAGGGAAAATTCAGGTGTCAAGCATCTCATTAGGGATAATGATAATAATAATAATTAAATTTGTCCAGTTAATGAGCCACTCTACTATTATGCTGTTTGTTTTTTAGCCTGTTTGTATTTGAAGTATGGAGAATGGAAGTTAGAGCAGCTCAGATTGGATTGTAACATTTGTCCTGCGCCTCTAATGATCATGATCAGGATGCTCACTCATGCTCACTCATGCTGTCTCTTTTCCATTCCTCATCCTCCACTGCTAACCCTCAAACCTTTTTTTTAGAGTGTGTTCCTTGACTGATCTCTAAAATAAGAGGACTTACCCCCCCCCCCTCTGCTCTAACTAATAATTGAACAACTTGGTAACTTGTAAAGTGCAGCCAACTGGTGATTTCACAAGAACAGGAAAAGTTTTGAGTCTTGAGACAGAACTGTGTGAACTTTGTCATCTTTTTATAAATTTTCTGGGTTGGTTTGTTAACACTTACAACATGAGCTACATGAACGCTAACCGCAAACTTGCACACGACAGTGGACAGTCATACATTCGTGTAGAGCCCTACAACTCATCATCATCATCGTAATTATTTTTCTCAATTGTTTATCCAGTCCAAGAGACAGTGGTGTCAGAGGAGATCATGCACAACCTGGACACATGTGAAGTGACCGTGGTGGGAGACGAGCTGGACGGCGAGCATGAGAGCCTGGAGGTGGACATGTCCCAGCTGCAGCAGCGTGGCCTGGAAATGAGCTCCTCTAACCTGGGCCTCGTCATCACCGGTACAGAGCACAGAGCAGCTTTACATAGAAAGGACATCCTTTGTAATCTCAAGAATGCTGACACACACACAAAAAAAATGAGTCATCTATACTGCATGTGTGTATTTAGGCATTTAAATTTTGGGCATTCAAACTGTCAATCACAGTGATTTTAGGTTGGTCACTCAAATCAAAACGTCTGTCTGTCAGTGTAGAAGTCCATTTTACGGATGCATTTCTAAAATCCCACAGTTGTATTCCACAACATTACTATGCTTTCCTCTCACATGGAGACATTTTCTGGTGATTGCAGATGAAATATCTTATTGACACGAGCCCCTCTCTCTGTGCTCTAGGTGTGAACACCATGGCCAACTATGAGCAGGTCCTGCACCTGATCCGTTACAAGAACTGGCACACCGAGGCTCTCTTTGACAGGAAGTTCAAGTTGGTCTGCTCTGAGCTCAACGGTCGCTACATCAGCAATGACTTCAAGGTCGAGGTATGACCGACCATTTGTGAGTGACGTTACGAGTCGCGTCCTCATGTTACTAAAGCGTCCTCACAGGACTTCAGCTTCAACTTTGTTTGAAACAGTTTACATGTGTGTTTGTTTCTTATTCTCTTTAGGTGAATGTAATCCACACAGCCAGTCCTGTGGAGCATGCTAACAATGCCATGGTGCAGCCCAATTTCATTAACCCCGTCCATCATGCCTCTGTGGACCTGTCCGGTCACAACCTGGTCAACGCTCATCAGGCCTCAGGTACTGCAGAATAGAAGCCTGGCGTGAAATGTCAGGCTTCGAATACAATACAGAATGTTTCTTTTTCTGTGTCTCTTTTATCAAAAAAACCAAGACGATAAAATAGCAACAACTGGTAATTTTGTTAATCTGGTCATCATGTGAAATGACTCAAAAACAAAGACTTTCAGTTCCACCAAACTGGTGTAACACTGGTTCTTACACATGAAGAGATTGTTCGAAAAAAACTACAATTTCTGGCACCATGAAATATATTTAACAATCACTTCATGAATCGTTTGATCCTGTTTAAATTCACAGCAGCCCACTTAAAACTTCCCCCACTTGCAGTATTTTCTGTATCTGTTAAAGGTAATACCAAACATAATCAAACCAGTAATCTGCTTAATTGTGCTGTAGAAAAAATATTTGGCCTCTGATATGGCAAGCATTACTGCAGAAGGATTACAGTCTATTAATCAGAAGTAGGGCACGTATTAAACACTGGCTCTTTCACACAAGTTTAGGGACCACACTTTAGTGCTGCGTGTGACATCTGTATGGGTGGTGCTCTGAGCACGACCTTTTATTTCCTGGCTTCAGTAATCTTCTAGGTTGTCAGACTCAGTAAGCCTGCCGCCGCACAGGAGCGGCTCTTTCCTGCTAATATGGGGCAAAGTGGAGCAGGTTGGCAGGAGACGAGCAAAGCTATCTAAAGAAAGACATACACACCTAGAGTTGCAGAAAGCATTTATCTTCAGTTTACTAAGAGCTCAATAACATCGGCGCTGGCACATCATGACACTGAAGCCCTGGAAATGCCCTCAGACAGACATGGAAGCTGCATCTCCCCACATAAAGATGTAACAGTGTTTTTATGTGTGAATGTTTGCCCAGTTTACATCTAACCTGTCCTTTTGTGTTTGTTTTCCTCACAGTGGTTCCCAGCGCTGCCACCATTGTCATTGTGGTGTGTGTTAGCTTCCTGGTGTTCATGATCATCCTGGGCGTGTTCCGCATCCGAGCTGCACACCAGCGGACCATGAGAGACCAGGAGAACGGCAAGGAGAACGAAATGGACTGGGACGACTCGGCTCTCACCATCACCGTCAACCCCATGGAGGTAAAAACACACCTGCGTGTTTTAACCAGTGGAAAGCTGTCTGACGGAATTTCACTGCTCATCAAAATGTGGTGGTGTTGCAGCTCAGACAGCTTTTCACCTGCTAATGCTCTCTGGGTGATGTTGCGACTGTGCCCTAGTTCTATCTGAGCTCCCGTGATTGACAGCTCTGTGGGGATGGGGCGAGGGATATTGTTGTGGATATTTGTGGAGTTTCACCTCGCCAATTGAAGTAAAAGAATCATATTTGGATTATTTTTGTTTAGCCAGTTAGTCTCATGGAAATTATTTTTTTTGAATTGTGTGCATTTGAAACTGATTTATAATTAAATAAATATTTATAATTTGAATCACAGTGACCCAGCACCTAGCTTCTTTACTTAACTAACATCTTTTAAATTACAAGAACTACTTTGAGTCACACTGTTGCAGTATTTACAACTGCTAATGTCTGGCATACCACAAATCAAGTTTGAAAAGCGCATCACATCCCTGAGTGAGGAGTAGATTTGTTTGTTCAACCACATTAAATGATGAACGGTAGTGAAATACAATATTTTTTTTCTTGAACATCCGTGAGCATCCATTGAAGCTGTATTCAGAGTTAGATCTTTTGTTTCTCTTGTCCTTTTGCGATCATCCGAACCAGTTTGGTGAGTGTGTTCTGTGCCGTTGACTGACATGTTGGTACATGATGTCCAGGTATTGAAGCTGAATTTTGTAAACAGTCGCGCTTTATTGGGATGATAAATTGGGAGGATTATAGTACTGAGGATTATTTCATATATAATTTATCTAGAGCAAAGGTCTTTATGTGCCCAGCTGAGATCCAGTACTTTACCAGTTACTGTTGAAACTGGATCATGTGTCAGGCTGAAAGAAGAAAATCAGATTTGTTCATTGTGCTGTCTGGATGATGGAGGAAGTGAATTCTGCTTTGTATTCTATTCTATTTTTACTGGGAACTGCACAATCCTTTGTTTAGTAAGATTAAAAATGTATTTATTTATTTTGTAAATATGGATAATGCAGAAAAATGTGTTGGCTGTTCCCATACGGCACATTTAGATTAGATTGGCCAGTGAAAAAACATTTCATCAGGATAAACTGCAGGCTTGTAGCAGTTCTTTTATATAGTCCATCTGGATTTATGTTGATGTTATTTTAAAGCTTAAACAAGTACTTAAAGCCTATTGAAGCAGTAATGTTGTAACTGATGGTTTTTTTGTTCTTTTGTTTTGTAAATGTGTTTCCACAAGACGTATGTTTTGTAAAATATGGGTTGGGCCCGATGTTTGGCACAAGTTACAACTCGTTCAGACACGTTAACTTAGCAGACATTTGTAGAATAATTAACATGACAAGATCATACCATCATGACATGGAGAAAAAGCCAAGACACTCAAACAAGAGCAGTTTAAATCACTACAAATATAAATACTTGTCTCTGAAAGTGACTCTCCACAAACAACTCGTCTCCCCCTCCGTCTCTAATGCAGACATACGAGGACCAGCACAGCAGTGAGGAGGAGGAGGAAGAGGAGGAGGAGAGCGAGGATGGAGAGGAGGAAGATGACATCACGAGCGCTGAGTCAGAGAGCAGCGAAGACGAGGAGGGCGGGGAGCCGGAGGACCAGCAGGGGGCCAGCAGACAGCAGCAGCTGGAGTGGGACGACTCCACCCTCACCTACTAAAACAACACACACACACAGACACACATCAGAAACCCACATTACACTCAACACAAGCTCTCTCACACACACAAACACACACACACGCACACACCACCAACTCACGCTTACTCAGATCCTCATAGTCACTTTTCACACCCCCTCCTCCCACAGGTTCATGTCTAAGGAGCCATGATGTTAAAAAAAAGAAAAGAAAAAAAAAACTACAAAAAATAAAAACAAGAATTCCCTTCAGCATATATATGGTCAAGGTTTTCCTGTTGTTACCTTAGTGGTGGTACTCAGTGTAGTGTAGTCATCACCGGATTGCTGATTTTTACTGTTTATTTTTTTATTTATTATATTTTAATTCCCAGGAAAACTTGGCCTACATTTGTTTTGAACTGTGTGAGGAAGCCAACCCTGCACTTTTTGTTTCCTCTCAGACGTAAGAAGTTCAAATGGAGAATAATTTTTTTTTCCCTGATGTATATTCTTGCTTAATGCTTTTAGATTTGTTTGCCGCTAAACTCACATATAGCTTTGACTTGAGTTTTCTTGACTTGTAGTCCACAGTGAAACAAAATGATGCTTTTAACAAGTAGACTGCATTTTTTTTTCTTTTAGTGCATGAGGATATTTAACAAGTCCTATGTGTAGAGAAATAAATTGCTTTTTAAAGATTTTGTAAATATAAAGAAACCATGTAATTAGTCTATGTGTTAGTGAAGGCCTACTCAATCTAAAACGACGCAGTACGTAATGTAGAATATTTGTGTCACAGAGGCTGTAGCATGTTGCAAAATTTCCGCAAAAAGCTGTTCCATCATGCTTGTACAAAAATGTCTGCTTCACGATGAGAAACCCAGGACTGTTCAGCGGAGGTTTCCATGACAAAGTGGTGTCTGTTTTGTCTTTTTTTTTTTTTTTTTTTTGCAGAGAAAAATCATGTCTTTTTCTTTCTCGTAGGCAGGACTGGTTGACAGTTTCAGCTTCATACATGCTTTGCTTTGCTTGCACAGGTGGCAATGCTCTGCTCCAGGCGTCACGTGTATTTCATTCCCAGTAGATCTCACTGTTGTACAGATGGGATTTTCTTTTTGTTCAGAGTAATCATGCTCAGAGAAATGCTAATGTACAAATCGACATTTCATTTTGTGTGGAGCGGTACAAACACCAGACCAGCAGGTTCTGTAGTGCTGTTAATCTTGAAATATGAGTAGTAACATTTCTGCCAGTGTATTTGGACAAGTAGAGAGATTTCCTCAGCAGCTTTAAAAAAAAAAAAAGAAAAAAAAAAAGAAAGTCTTTCGGCCCTCGTATCCCAGTCCTCTGTGCTGACAAGAGGAGGTAAGGCGAGGGAATAAAACCTTTCAAACTACTGAAGGAGCAGATTTATGACAGAGCTTTAGTGGAGTCTGGTTCAATAATGAAGTAGCTGGCATTGTTTTTGGGGAGAAAAATTAAATGAAAGTACTTTTCAGGATTGCTCTGTTGCAACTTTATTTTCTATGGCACGGCTATTTAACCTGAAATAATAATAATAATAATAATAATACATATATTAGATGCATTTTTAAAATGGTTTCTTATTGCAAAATAAGCATTGTCTTTATTGTAGTTTATGGGATTACAATTGAGGGCATGACTGCATAGTTTACAATAGGAAAATGCATTAAAAATGAACCATCTTCTTCTCGTTTGAATCTAAAATGAGATATTTTTTTGCAGTAGACCACTAGATTTTATTGTACATGGAACTGTACTGTAGAGTTGTTCTAAGATATTTGTTTACATTTGGTAAACTTATTTTCCTTCTGGTATTAGTATAAAGCTTATACAATTGATTGGGAAAATGTGTCCAACCTCTATCTCCTCTCAGACATTGTTGTAACTAGTGTTTGTCTCATGTTTTTTGGGTACCAAGCAAAATGTCTAAATTTCCCAAACCTGCATTAATTAAATCAGATCAGATTTGGGGCATTGCAGTGAGCAGAATGTGGCATTATCAAGATTAGAAATGTTGGCGTTGCAAGTCTTATATTTTGCATGCAAATATATTTTCAGAGGCCAAACTTCAGTTCAGAAACACATAACAGGCTCTCCTTGGAGACGGTTTCCAGGCTACTGATGGGGATTTTTGTCGCACAGTTGTATTTTACTTTTAAGTCCAATTAATTTATGATTTTTAGAGGTCTGTGGTGGAAATGTAGTGAACAGTCTCCCCTCCATGATGACTCGGACTTGTGAAAAGGAGGCCAGGTCTGAGCCGGCTGAGATGGGAGTGCCTTTTGCCTTTTTCGATCATAGCGAAATTAGCAGGTCTAACAAAAATCCATGCTCTTATATTTGTGGGTTTTTTTTTTTTATTTGTATTTGTTTAATGCTAGATTTCTTACAGAGCTGGGGATTACATTTTTCTTTCAGTTTGTTGTAACAATAGTCCACCGCTAGTTTTATTAAAAGTGACAAACATTTTCACATAGATGTCATGTGTCCATGTTGATGTGTAGAGGAAGTAGATCCATATTGTATCTTCTATAGATATTGTTCTAAATCATATTGTACTAAATCATATTGACGGAATCCACCTTTAAAAAGATGCACAGTACATAATGAAATTGCTTTGGCAGCATACATGGGTATACTGTTAATTGAGCTATTTGTGTATAGTGGAAGGTAATTTTGAACAGTGTCCTATCGCCTGAATTGTCGAGAAATGATTTTGAGGGCAGCATGAAATTCACAAGAGTTTAAGCCTGTCGACTCCGAAATTCTCAGTTTCATTATGTCAAACACTAAATGTCCACGTTTCATCTACAGTTCAAAGTACAATACCATGGGTCACTGATAATGTGCACACCGACTCTGAAGTCAAGTCTCCGCAGTGACTCCACCATCTCCAGTTTTCTGGGTTATATTCTTTCTGGTCAGCCCCTGAGCTAAGTGTCAGTTGGTTGAATTGAATGTCACTGCCTAACAAACTGAAATGCAGCCATACTGTAATAACACTAAGATGTAAGGGGAATTTACTTTGCATGAACCACAAGTTTGTGTACGTTCCATGTGGGGTTGTGAGACTGGAGTGAGAAAGGAGACGTGATACACTACTGATTCTCATACCGTCTGTTTCACACGTCCACAACACTCCAGATATATATTTTTTTGTTTCTTTTTCTTTTAAAAATTTGCTCAAAATGGAAGGTGACAGTGTTTTTTGAACGTTTGGATGCGTCCTTTGTGCTTGTTGGAGCTGCTCTCACTTTTCTACCAATTAAATGGCAAATTGTAGTGAAGTTGATGCTTGCTCGCAAACAAAATAAAGGATGATAAGATGGGGTATAACTTTCGTCTGTTCTTGTTTTCCCTCAATCATTGCTCATATCATGAGTGTAAACGTAATGCTGGTGGTACACGCCCTGAGTGGTGCTTCTGAGTGTTTTAAATCTTGAACATTAGCACCCTCTGCTGGTGAAAATGAAATTCTTTGTAGCCCAAAAATAAAAGGTGCAAGTGATATTGTTTTTACTTACATTCAAAGTTACATGGTTTCAAAGCTGAATATCAATTAAGACTGATGCTTTAAACATTATGATATTAAGTTGTACATAGTTTCAACCAGATGAAATATAATGAAGCACTGTATGTGATTACTGTCCATTTAATGCTACAGCTGTCAAATGAAGCACAGTTTGAAATGCCTGATAATCAATGAATATACAGAAGATGGACAAAATAACAGTAACACCTGATAATGTATCAATGTATTCCTAAATGTGTTGAATTCTGTGTAATGACATATTCTGTTCTCTAATTTCGCATTTTCCTCGAGACAAAGAAGGTGAAAATCTACGTCTTACTCTTTCCTCCAGAGACTTCTTTAAAACGGCTCAATCGTGCTTATAACTGGTGATTGAAGACATGGTGGAAGGGTTTTTATTTTACTTTTGTAACCCAGGCACCATCAACATCTTGCAGTGCGAGGACACCATGAACACACTTTAAAGTGACCTCGTTCCGAGCCTTTTAAACAACCACAAGCTCTATTCATCAGACTGAATGGCTCTCATGAGTTGGCTGCTGAAACCATCACAAGACCTGCACAATGTTGAACAGATGGCAACAAATCCGTCAAGTGGATTTTTTGTCACATTGCAGCCAGGCTGATTATAAGCTCATCTGATCATATTTTTATGCATCTTAATACTAAATTTGAAAATGCATTTTCAAATGGCAAGCCAATTTAGGAGGCTTATAAAGTCAATATTTTGTTGAGACAGACTGATCAGAAAATCTGGAGTAGAGGCCATAATTTTTTTTACTAACTACTTTGCCATGCTCCCATTTATTACTGTCAGAGCCGTGACTTGTTACTACCACTGTCCCATTTTGTCAATATCGTATTTTGCATGTACTTTCAACAATTTGAAACCTATTGTGACACGTGCCTGTGATTTTAGGTTCCCATTACTTGGATGAGTTTACTGCTCGATTGTTATGAAAATATAGTGAAAGATGTGATTATGAGAATATCCAAGTTTACAAACAGCTGAATACTGTCAAGTTGAACTATATGTATACAGCATTTAACTTCATTCCTGTATTTAAAACTTTTGTTTCATGCGGTATTTCTGTTATTTTGTCCAAAGCCCTGCACACACCACAGTTTAGTAAAAGCAACAATGCAGCACTCACACAGCAAATCAACATCTTCAAAATTTGAACTTGAATTTTCAGGTTTTAAGACAGACACAGAAACCCAACAAGAAACACAGCACAAATCACAACAAAGTAGTTCTCATGAACTGCCTGGACGATCCTCTACATTCATGTACATGTCTTCATATTAAACAAATCATATACTCGTACCTATAATACAATTTTACACTTATTTGGACAAATAAAAGACATTTACAAAAGTTGTGGGGTATAAAATAATACTATTAAAAAGTGTTAGCATCCACAGCAACACCTAGAAGTGCACTGATTATTTACAAAATCAACAATCAATTGGCACATTTGTTTCTTGGTAATACCAAAGACGGAGTTAAAATTAATATTTTGTAGAGTTACTATGCTTTGGTTTTCACGCCAGAGCTAGCTAAAGCCATAATTTTGTCTTCAGACCCTGAAAAAGAAAGCAAAACAAGATAAATGTGAACATTCATCCAAGAATTTGTGGAATAGACATTTGTGTGAAATCACATTTATTCTCACCTAGGTTTGCAGTCACTTTTTCAAACTGGCTCAGGGTAGCTGTGGCATTTTCAATGAGAAAAGTCTCATCCTCTGCAGTAAGCTGTCAGACCAGACAGAAACAAAAAATATATGTCGTTAATCCAAGCCTCAATCATTTGACAATAACGTGTTTAAACTGCTAAAACTGCTGCTTAAACTGCAACTTCTTCTGATCAGCCGGTCTGTCAGCCTAGTGTCACCTAAATGACTAAAATGAGTCAGTGCAGCTTTAAGAGTTCAAGTGGACTGAGGAGCACAAGCCAGTGAATCACCCATCAACCCATGGAAAAAAACATCACAAGTGTTCCACACCTTCTCTCCCAGTTTTCTCAAGGCTGTGAGGATTTCCATCTTCTGCTGTGTGTACACGTCCCGCGACAGTTTCCCCACCATGACATCTCGGTCCATCTGCACAGAATGTCACAAAGCAGTTAGACAATTTTCAGACCAAGCAATGCACAGATAAACACTGAGGGATGATTGAGCAGTTGAGCTAATTCTACAGCTGTGCATTAAATGGAAATAAAAATCATATTCTAGATATTGTCGTGCAAACCTCTGCTAGTCTGGTTCTCAGCTGCCCTGGCTGCTTCTTTGCAAAAAGTCGGATCACCTCTGGAGTTTTGAATGCTTGACTGATAGCAGCCTGGATTGCCTGATGAAGATGGAGATATCAGAAAAAAAAAATCATTGTTTATACCACATTATATGAAGTTACTTCTTCTATAACCTCTTAAAGTCATCCTTAATACACAGTAATTGCACTCTCTCCATTGATGGTCCATACCAACTGCATCCCACTGAGTTCATCCACAAGTGTCATGTCTCCTGTCATGATCTTCTTCAGAGAGTCATTGAATTCACTCAGCTGTTCCAAGGTTTCCTTCTTTGTCTCCTCATACTCTTCCTCATCCAGTTCTTCTCTGGAACAAACAAAGAAAGGATGAGAAACCTAAAGGCACACGAGAAAATATTAACATGCCTGTATGGTGTTTTCTGGCAAAGAGTAGATCATCACTTGCCAGCTATAAAATGTCAAATGTTTTCATTCAGTAAAGAGACTCAACGCCTCTATGAATTTAATGAATCTTGCTTTAAAACACCTGCATTCTTCCAGATCCTGAAGCTGCTGCATCAATCTATCAAGCTGCTCTTCCATATTTTGCCTCAGTTTTCCAGTTTCTGATTTCCCCCGAGAAGCCATCCTTCTTGGTTAAACTGTGTCCCGACCTAAAGAGAACGCAAACAGAGAATGAGACAGGAACCATACTCCGGTTGTGATGGGAATTATCGCTCCAATGTGCCACCAGGCAACTTTAACGTCAACCTAGCATGCTATCTGTAGACTGTCTTCAAAAGCAATGACTAACCTTGGAGCTAGCATTACAAAAAAACTGTTTAAAATTTAGCTAGACATTAACTTTATTGACAAACTGTTGGTGAATGTATTTCCCAGAAGCTCAGACCCTGCTGTCTTAACAAGGAAAGTTGTTTAGTTAGCTGAATGGCTAGCTAGCATGCTAAAAGAAAACATCTCACCGTACTCTCTTTGAGAACAGTTGTAAATCAGCCTTGCGATAATTTAAATGTTTGCATCAGCTTGGCGAGTGTACCACAAAGCTAACTAAATCATTCAACTGGATCTCCGCAAACAACAGCTTATTTTAAATGCGCTAATAAGATGTTTATCGAGGCGTTTGTGATTGTGAACGTAGCTCAGGAGCGTGGGTGCGGCTGTCGGCTTCCTGCTCGATCCCGACCAATCAGTTTTAACGTAGTCCTTACCGTCCATACTACGGGAAGCAAAAGACACATTACAGAGCAGCTGACCGCCGCTAATTCTTACGGTAGTCCAGTGAGTTATTTGCATTATTCTGACGCTTTCTTCGTTGTCCAGACTTAGCTCTGTTCACCTTTCGATCGTTGGAGCGTCCTGTACGTTCATCTTGGTGGCAACCGTTAAACTCGCGTTGCCTAATTACAGACGAAGCTAACGTTCGCTGCGGTTTCTAATTAAATGACAGTCCTAAAGATAAATGAAGCTAACACGCAATGATATATATATTATTTCTTTTCTTAACTTTTTGTAATTCACTCTGGTGTAGACGTTACAGAGCCCCCTTTCCCTCTCAAAGGTCAGGGAACCAGGGGGCTATTGACATGTGACCCATCGAAGACGGTTAACTAACTACAGTGTTTGCTTTCCTCACCACATCTGTTGTAGTGTATTCCCAGCTCCACTGGGAGGCATGGAAGCTCACAATATAACCTCATTGGTCCTGCTGGCTTGCGGCTCATTCAACCCCATCACCAACATGCACCTGAGGATGTTTGAACTGGCTCGAGATCATCTGGAAGACACAGGTTGAGTGAAATGAAAATTTGATCTTGTCTTGGGTTCAACCAAATTACACAAAAAAACACTCTCTCACTCACCTCTAAGGATATCTAGCTGTGCAGGTAGTGTGCATTTTAATTGCCCAGGTTTGCAGATATTCTGAACTGAATTGTGTTTGTGGTGCTCATAGCACTGAAAGAAAATCAACAACCATTTATCAATGCTGTGCGCACCACAAATGAAATTCAGTTCACTTCCATAGTCTTGGACAGGAGGGAGAAATTACAGAGGCTAATATTTCTAAGCTGAGGCAAAACTACCAGCATGTTTAGGTAACAAAGGTTTAAGAAACATTCAGATATTCAGATCAGATTCAGTAGCAATACAAGTGTAAGAGTTAAAATAGCAGCTGTGGCTCAAGAGGTAGAGCAAGTTGTTGGTTGTTCGATACCTGAGCCAAAGTGTCCTTGGGTACTTTGCTTGGCTTGCTGCCATGGGTCTGTGAGTGTATGTGTAAATGGGTGAAGGAGAGGCAAATGTGTTTTGGATAAAAGCGCTATATAAATGCAGTCTAAATACCAAATACTTCAAAATAAAAGTTCTGCATTCGTTATTTTACCTAAGCAAAAGTACAGAATGGACTTTGTCAGTCATTTATTATATACAGTATTTTATTTTAGTAGATTATTATTACTGATGAATAAAAGCTGTACAAAGATTTAATCTGAAAAGTTACTTGTAACTAAAGCTGTCAAGGAAATAAAATGGAGTAAAACATACAATAATTCCCTTGAAACTTGTGCAGTAGAGGTATAAGGTAATAGAAAATTTAGATGAAGTATTTCAATATAGTACTTCCTTGAGTATACATAGTTATATTCCACCTCTGCTAGCTTCCACCAGAGAAAGTCTGTTAAATTACACATATGAATGAACCAACCCTTTGGTTCCTTTAATTCATCAAATGAACCCATCTACTGACGTAAAAGGAATAATGTGCATACTGTGTGGGTAAAATTCCCAGTCCCATCTACTGTGCTGTTGCTTTTAATCACCTGTTTAATCACACTCCTTCCCTTGTGTCTAAGGTCAGTACAGGGTGGTGAAAGGCATCATCTCTCCAGTGAGTGATGGCTATAAAAAGAAGGGTTTGATTGAGGCCAGCCACCGTCTGGAGATGGCCAGATTGGCAACAGAGAACTCAGACTGGATCACAGTAGATTCCTGGGAGTGCTTGCAGCCTGAGTGGGTGGAGACAGCTAAAGTTGTTCGGTAAGTTGCTAATTCTTTTAGTTATTATTTTTTGGGGTTTTTGCCTTTGTTATAGTCACAGTGAGAGAGAGACAGGAATGAGAGAGAGAGAGAGAGAGAGAGAGAGAGAACTTGACAATGACATGCAGCAAAGGGCCACAGCCTAAATAGTTTGCACGGTACCAGGTGAGCCACTGGGCACCCACGAGTTGCTAATTGTTATGTCTTGTCACTGACAGTACCTGTGCTTCCTGCAAATTAGGCTTTTTTCCCTGTTTTTGGTGTTTTTGTAGAGACATGCCACATAAGGCACTTTCTGTCAGACCTTTCAGAATTCCTTCTTTCCTGTAATTCTTCTTTGTCAGTGAAGACACCTTGAACCACACATTCAACAACAACACATTCACTCTTAACACAACATGCGTAGATAGTAATGACAGCTAAACAAATGATTTACAAGCAGACCCTTACAAGCAGATCCTCAAGTTTAAGATCTGATGTGATTCTTAAGTGCAAAGGACTAATGATGCCATTATGTTGGCACAAATGTAAACAAACTATAATGTCCTAGTTATATTACCTGATCTTGTATCATGTCATCTGTGCTGTTCATACATACAGTGCAAAATCCTTGCAGTTACAGCACACAGCTTTCAAACATTTTAACAGAGAAAACCTTTGTATTCTGAAGGAACAGAAAAGGAATAATCTGGCCCTAAATCCATTATCAAACATTTTAGGCATGTCAAGGCATTAAATCAAATGACCTGATGTTACATTATTGATCATGAGATACTCATTTATAAATAAATGAGAATCTCATATATATAATGTATCATTTATTTATTAATGAGAAATAATGTAAGTATATATAATTGATATGCCTGCGGTGAAGAAAAGGGGGCCCTTGACAGTTTTCTACCACAATGTGGCAAGAGAGCTTCAGGTTTAAAAAGGGATGCACTACATGCAGTAAAAGAATTGGACAATTTGCAGTTGGTGAAAACATGATTGCATAAATACGTTTCAAACCCAAACCCGTGCTTCCAGTTGCATTTCATCACAGGTTTTGACTTGCTGCCAGAAAGAATAAACATTCATCTGACATCTGACACACAACTGGATGACATGGCTGTCAGGGGCTGGGCAAGATGATTATGAGTATGAATCATTGAATACTGCCCAGAACCTTGCAATCCAAACAAGACATTTAGGCTTAGTTAAAGTAATAATAAAATATTGAAGCCAGACTAACAGACTTAAAGCATCGCTGGCAAAGACAGAGCTTGTTTTTAAATATTAATTATGCTGTTAATTTAAAAATGGTCCCTTGAGTGACACATTGCTATTTTATAAATTCACCATAAGTTAAACAAACATTAAGAAAAACTTAAAGTTGAATTTTGATTAAAAATGGACTTTGCACAAATTATAAAATCAATTTAAGTTGATAAATAATGGATATTTCGTTCAAAGCACAATCACAAAAATGACCTTTTATTCCAGGGTTAAAGGAGATTTATTTGCTTAAAGCCTAATACAATAGTGTGCTGGCTGGGTAATGACTGATATATTGCAGTGCAGTTAGTCCTCACCCCCACCCTGCCCCTTTAATTTTTGATGGATAAAAAATCTGATATTTTGATGCTACATAAATTTTGTCTGTATTCATGTAGGCATCACCATGAGGAACTGCTTTCAGCAGCACGGAACAATGATGATGTGGACACAGTCAAGCACACCAAAAAGAGACGCATAGATGAGAATTATCTTGGAGTTTCATCTCATCAGAAAAGGAGAGGTAGGTCATGTGTGGCGATGTGCAGTGTTATGTAACTTAAATATTGTTCTCTCTGTTCTCTTTTATTCTCCTCCCTCCCACAAGTCTCATCCTGCTTCCACTGTATTCATGGTTCACTGTATTCAGCATAATAACAGGAGACAATGGTTTAAAGGTGTGGATACTCGGGGTGTGTTGTTGTGTGGTGGGTGACACCCAATCACACCATTTACAGTAAAGACAGTCAGATGGCAGCCAGTACAGACGGTGAGAGATGAACCTCCAGGGGTGAAAGAAAAAAAAAAAACAATGCACGCATCAGTGACACAAACTCAATGTGACGTCCAAGTTTACCTGTTTGTTTTCCGACATTCTTCACACCGGTGACAAGAATTGTCTGTGACTGTGAATCTCCAGCATGTACAGTAGCTGCACTGCATGGGAATAGCGCATGTGTGTGCTATTCATGTGACATTAGACAAAGACTCATGAGGAAATAAGATCAATATGTCATAACTGTTATTGACACTTTATTACAATAGGTTTTTTCAGAGTCTGCATAGCACTGATTTTTTACATAACTGTAAACGACTTGAATCTACTGAAGCGCCCGCTGACAGAGAGCACTGACTTCTTAACTTAGTTACACATTGAGATCAGACAGGCTACATCTGTAAAGACTCCTTTTAAATAATTCTTTTATAAGAAAGAAAAAGAAGCTTTTATAAATACTTAATGTTTCTTATGATTTTATATTTTCATCTCCTAATTTCAATTGTAAATCTCCTAATGTTTGATGATCTCCCTGTCTGTTTTTATCATTTTCTACTGTCTTTTCCCTTTAAACTCGATTTCCCCCTTTCTTTTCCCTTTTCCCTTTGTTAAGAAAAGTTACACACAAATAGGGTTTCTTGATAAGCTGTTTTGTCTACGCTCAGACGGCCCTCAGCTGATGTTACTGTGTGGGGCTGATGTCCTTGAGTCTTTCGGGAAACCCAATATGTGGAAGCAGGAGGATATCGCTGAGATTGTGGGCCGCTACGGTTTGGTTTGCATCACCCGCAGTGGCAGTGAGCCCAACAAGTTCATCCACCAATCAGACATGCTGTGGAAGTATCGCAAAAACATCCACATGGTCCATGAGTGGGTGGCCAATGATGTCTCAGCCACTCACGTGCGCCGGGCGCTTCGCCGAGGTCAGAGCGTCAGGTATCTCCTGCCAGACCCTGTGGTTCACTACATTCAAGAGTGCGACCTCTACAGTGCTGAGAGCGAGCAGAAAAATGCTGATGTGGTTCTAGCACCCCTTCAGAGATACACTGATGCCTCCTCGAGCTAAGGGCTTTACTGCTGCAGCTGCAAAACAGAAGTGTGAGCTGTCTACACTAAGTGCTGGACGTTTACTGTGAGTTTAAAACAAATGTGACAGTTTATTTATGCTTCCACCAGTGCCTACTCTACACAGAAGTCTCTTCTAATGGTGTGTGTGAGGAGAAGCGTTCATTCATTTTCCTGAGTGAAGTGATTTAGTTACTGCAATAAAGTAGCTTGTGTGTGTGGAAAAATACAAAAGTTAAGAACTAAATAATTTAGTAGCAGTTTAACTGGCTTGGAAGTCATCTTAATGTCATATAAATCTGGTGTGTGGTTAATGAACCAGGGATTGACAATTTTGAATGAAACATTTTACATTCATTATATTTGGAGTTACATGAAATAAGATCAGGAACAAATACATTTTAATCTTTTTACTTGCTGTACCACGTTTGCCCCCAGGTGCTTCAGTACACTCCTCTCGACTCATCACGTGTTTTGTACCTAGAGCAGGATATTTTAAAAATGAAGAGTAGGCTATGGGCTTTAAAATTGTATCTTGTGCTGCAGATTTGAAATGAAATAAACACCCCTCTTTGGTTTCCAGCTTGCAAGCTTTTCATTCCTGTTACAATGCTATTGTCACACAGATAAGAAATTCCTAACATCTTCAGTTAGGGAAGTGCCAAATTGACACCTTGGCTATTTGATTAAAATGCTGCTTGTCAGGGAGGGGGTTAACTTACCTTTCAGGTAATCATCATTAACAGAAGATAACAACTGAAATTACAAATTTCAACCAACTAAAGCATCACTGTAATCGCAGTGTGTTGACATGAAAGCATAACTGATTACATCACATTAGAATCATAGTTGGTGCCTATTTAATTTACTTTTATTGTTAGATTACATCAAAAACCTGAATATGTCATTCACATTTAAAGGGTCCAATGCAAAGTAACTGGGTTAAGATTGGTTGATTCTCAGGACATAACAGAAGTCATGTTTATCCTATTAAACAGTTAATTAATGTGTCAGGTGCTCATGACAGATAAACATCTAGACCGACAACCCAGACCTTGACCTGCTTCCTGCTTCCTGCTTAAAGTCATGAGGAAGAAAAACTACCATAATGTTTGGACAAGCTCCATGTGTTTTCTTTTCTTTTAAATTGGACTTGGGTCAATGCCTTCCAAGCTGCATGCCAGAGAAACGACCAATGTCAACATTAGTTTTCACATTGTAGGGAAAGGTGCACCACTTTCACACAGGTCCTCTTCATAAAAACAACAGGTGTTTGACCCTGGTTTGCGTTAAAGCTAGAAGATATTTATTCCACAGTTACAATTTGCACAATTGAAAATAGTGAGGACTAGCCCCAACATAAAAACATATTTAAGAATTCATTTTCATATGCAGAAAGTCTTTCAGTTACTACTATATTTACATTGTGTATGCAAATCTATCAACTGTTTTTTGTAATGTCATGGGATAAGGAATGAAAATGCTAAACAGGAATGGATTATAATTAACCATTGCAGAAAATACTTCTTCCAAACATTAAGGTCAACATTTTTTTCTTTCCATTTGTGTGCATGCACGTGCAATAAATCTGTGACACAATTGTGTCACAATTTTGTTTTCAGTGCAGTGCATGATCGGACCAGTCTGACATGTTGGGCTTCCCCCTCTACGCTCTGGCACTGACACGAGTCCCGCCCTCATCCTCACAAGGTCCTCAGGCGATAGTGAAGGAGATTAAGAGCACACCTAACCCTTTACTTTACAAAGCAGCATTGTCTCAGCCTCTCTTCAGAGCTCCTCATCAGCTCAGCAGTTTGAGGATCACATTTCATTCACACACACATCTCAGAAGGAGGAAAAAAAGTATTCCTCAAAATGCCTGTCAGCCTCTGTGGAACATGGGACATGATCAGCAATGTCAACTTTGAGGGCTACATGATTGCACTGGGTAAGTCCTTAAAGCATTTTGTTTTAGTCAAACAATTCTCTTCTGATGTTACATCTGTAGTGAAAGACTCCAGATGTTTGCTTTTCTATTTGTCAAACTTTTAATTGTACAGTAAAATGCATGCAGACATGACAGTGTACAACATTGAACAAAGCCACTGTGGGAACCATCATTCGCCTGCGCTGTCGCATCAGTGCTGTTTATGGTATGCATGGGACTATGTGAGAAAGAGAATGTGTCCCCCAGATCTGTATTCTCTCTGTACATTCACGTAAAACACTTTTCTGCCATTCCAGGTATCAGTCCTTACTTACGAAAGATTGCTCTGAGGCTGAAGCTGAGGAAGGTGATTGAGCAGCGCGGCGACCAGTACATCATCAAAACGGTCAGCGCCTTCCGAAACTACACCATCTCCTTCAGAGTGGGCCAGGAGTTTGTGGAATATACCCAGGGACTGGACAACAGACATGTCAAGGTGAGGATGGTAATAAATATAATGATAACAAGTGTTTTGTAGATCATGTGATGTGTTTTTCCTTTTTATTTGGGCTGCTAAAATAGTTTTGTCTCCTCTACCTTCTGTGCAGTCACTGGTGACATGGGAGGGGAATAAACTGGTGTGTGAACAGATTGGAGAGAAGAAGAACCGGGGTTGGACTCACTGGGTTGAAGACGACAAGCTACATCTGGTAAGAACATGAACGGCTAATTTAATCATATTTGTTCCACATAATGCACAGAACGTTTGTATTTCTTGTGCTATTTAATGACATTGTATTTATTTTATATTTCTGTGACCCATTACCCTCAGGAGTTGCACTGCGAAGGAGAAATATGCAAGCAGGTCTTTAAGAAAAATGTGGCTGAGTGAAGAAGAATGAAAGTTGTATTCCAGGAGATGTTACTCTGTGATGAACAGCATCGTGTTAAATCCACCGCTCTAAGCCCTGAACAACAAAACCACAGTAAAAGTTCAGTCTGTGGTGTTTTCTCTGTACTCAGTTCAGGAGAAAATATCCGTCCTTTCAGGGTATGGATTTACACCAGTAGATGGCATCACTGCATTACTTTTGTCAGATACTGGTCTACACTGTTGTGTAGTTTGCTGGTGTTGGCTTCAGCATCATGCATCTTTATTGCTTGTTTCAATGGGCTGAAAAAAGCTTGTCCATTCAGGCTCTGTTAAGTGATAAGTTTTTGTTTCCATAAAATCTCTTTTGTCTGATAACACAAATTTGAGGAAATGTTTCTTTTCACTGGCTTGTGCTATCCACCTGGCATTTGGTTGAGCTATTTGTAAAATTAAAATCTCACATTCATGTAGATGCATCTACACCCAATGTACAACAAAAAGTGAGGTGCAAGATGTTCGGAATGCAATTTGATTTTATGTGACTGTATAATAAAATGGGTTTTGAAAGAAGTCTGAAGCAGCATCTTTTTCTTATTCTGTCATTCTTTTTTGTCATCCTATCTTTAGAAAAATAAAAGTTATTTTTTCTGATTGTATGCTATTGGGTTCTCTGACTCAAAGATCTGCCCTGTGTCACCATTTATTCTACATGTGATGATGATGAGGTAGGGATTGTAATGAATAATTTTGCAGTATAATAAATATAAAAATTGTACAGTAGCTAATCTGCCATATTGCTGCTTGTACCTTACCTGGTACTAACCTAACGGAGTCCAATAAAACCTCTTGTTCTGACCTTGTTCCCCACTGACTGTTCATGCACACTAAGTTTAATAAATAATTGCAGGATGTGTTGTTTATTGTTTTAAAGGAGAATAAGAAGCACCAGCTTAAAACTGTTAAACTAGCTAGCTGGTAGTCAGGCCATTAGCACTGTAAACTATTAGACTGGCTCAATAAAAATATGCATATATAACAGGTGAAATATTAAATGTATATGTGCAACAATAGTGGAGCCTTACACCTCCTCTTGTGGGCTCATAAGTCACGTGACGTTATCTAGAACCAAAATGGCCGCTGTTGTATTTTGACGTATAATAGCTAGCTACTTTTCTTTTTGTTTCATTCTTGGTAGAAAACCAGCAAACGAGTGACTTTTCGGAGGAACTGTATCTTGTCACCCTCCGTATACTGGTGTCATAGTTTTTATCTTGAAGACAATCAACACTGACACATATTCGTTGAACGAGTTAGACTATGCATATTTAGTTCTAATACAGGCTAGCTAGCTGGCTCTGGCTGGCACACAGTAAAGCAGTTGAAAGTGAAATAGCTGGCTAACTTGGCTGCGATGGAGGAATTGAGCGCAGATGAGGTAAGGTGACAATGAAAATGGGTCTAAGTTAGAAGCGTAGCTCTATTTTACTTGCGTAACAATTTACATTTAGGTTTACAAAGTCTCTCCTTCGGACTTAAAGTCAAATGGAGTTGCTGCTAGCTCACATGCTATAAGAGCTAGCTCAGAGGCTAGCACATTCTAAATTGAAGAAATGCATCCGCGACAAAAATGCCACATTTATCTCAATACCAGCACTCACAAGTGCGTGTCAGCCAAGGCAATCCGCAAGGTGTTTATTTACGAAAGACAGCTCATATAACGGAGTGAGCGAACTCGAAGCTGGATGTGGATGTTTGTGTCATCGTTGCTAGTACGCTAATATAATTTAGCCGGCGGAGCTCAATGCTAACTAGCTAACGTGATACTAGACGCTGTGCACAAGCTGACCCGTGAATAACATTGTTTTCATTAAAAACAATAACATAATGATTATTAGATTGAATAGTTTTGTTCTGGTAGATGTTTTCTTCGTGTTATGTTTTGACAGATTAGGTTACATTTTGCATGTCGGGTTGATTGGGCATATTTTCTTGCGGTAAGCTAGCTGACAGTTGCTAACGTTGTTTTGCTAACAGTCAAAAATTAGCCTGTGAGACGACTCAGCATAAAAAAAAAACACACACCGGGCCACCATTGTGCAATGAACTGTGGGCCGACTGTGCGGTCACTGAGCTGTTCCCCTTGAACCACGCACAATATTTTGTGTGGGTATACTCTCTTTGCAACCTTGTAGGCGTATTTACTACTACTGCTACTCGATCAACTCGCAACCGAGTTTTCAATTGATTTACAGTAGTTGTTAGGCTCGTCAGCTGAGTTGTGACGATCAGTGCTCACATCGGACTTTTTTCTTTTTTGTAGGTTGTGTTGTAGTTGTTCGATTAGACATGTCTTAAATTTAAGACCATACTACCCCTAAAGGAATGAATGAAAACCGATCAGTGTTATAATAATGTGTCTTTTGTGTGGGACTAATGATCAAATAATGAAAATGAACTTATCACCTTGCATTTCTTTTTTTGGTTAACCCCTGTCAATAATTTGTCCTGGAACTTAAGAAAGGCCAGTCATTAAAGTATATATATGTATGCAGTCTTGATATATGTCAGTCTGTACATAGTACTTTGAGTGAATATGTTCATCTGCTGGTTTCTTCATTCAAGATTCGCAGAAGGCGATTGGTTCGACTGGCAGGGGGACAGACATCACAGCCCAGCACCCCTCTCAGCACACCCCTGACATCCCCACAGAGAGAGACTCCACCTGGACCCCTCCATGGACACTCAGGTGCCACACCCCAGCCCCTGCCACCAGCTGCCTCCCAATCATTGGGGCTCATTGTCCACAGTGGTACCCCTGCCACATCCCCTATGGGCAACTCTGGTAAGAACTGAATAAGATATACAGGTTTTGGGATGTGGCTGTCCAGTTTCAGTTGTATCTGTTACAGTTTCCATGTATCTGTCTATCTTATTGTTATTGTAGACAAAACATAAGCAATTAACAGCGTATCAGGATTCAGTTAGCTTTGCCTGGCTGTTACCACAGACTTATTGTTGTTAACCTCTTGTGTGGTCTTAAGTCTAACCCTATCATCCTACTCAAATTATCCTGTAACATGTTGTCTCTGAAACTTGGAAGATAAACAACCATGGTTGTTTGAGCACAACATTGAAAGGGACCTTTTTATATTTTTGATGTTGATATTTTAACAGCAGGAACCAGTTGGTACATCCTGAATGACATCAATACGAACAGCAGCAGATTGTTGTGAATACAGTGTCCCTGTCTGATACTAGGTATAGGCCCTGCTGTACAAAGTGAGAATTGATCTTTTCACCCGTGCATTGCTCTAGAAACTGCACTAGCCATGTATGGATGCAGTGACATTTTCCTGGCATTGTTTGTTGGTATGCGTAGATGTGGTGGTGGTGGTGGTGTTATACAAAAGAATCTTTTCAGGGCCACTGCTACTTTTTCATAACTGGTTAAAATGTGTGATTTTCTTCTTTGCTGTTACATAAGTCTTCACTGCATGTCAGTGTGTTTGTTATGAATATTTTAATTGACACAACAGTGGTACACTGTTTTTATTTGACTTAGCAGTTGTTAATGATAATGATTGTTGTGGATCCAGGAGAGGGCTGTTAATTCCAGCTCTTCATCCACAGTACAATCCTTGGTGTTAATCAGCTTTCTCTCCCAGTGTTTTCACTAATCAGGGCTTATAATGTTGTGGCACACTCTGCTGGTTTTAAAAGCCGCTAGTTGCCCAGTGTCTTCCATAAACATCAACTCTGACATAAAATATAAAACTTTAATTAGCTGCTTATTCGTGTCTGATCTATATCTAAGTTCTAGTAAGGAGTGAGTTTGCTGTATCAAAAACAATAATTAAAATTACAGTTAAGAAATTTTATTAAAAAATGCTAAACTACATGTATATTTGACAAACACTAAATCAGAGGCATCTCAGTACGATGAACATAAAGTAAGAACCAGGAGAGATATGGCAGACTAAAAACCAACACAGCATAAGAAAACACAAAAATATATATGAACCATTACATTTTTAGAGGAGATCTAAAATATGACACTGTCTTTACGGAACCTTCTCTCCTTTTCGAGCAGCTTAGGTTTAGACTAGAAAAACCCAGGAAAACAAGTAAACTACAAATTTAAACTTGAAATCTAACTTGAAGCCAGGGCCACAATATAACTCCTATTCCAGAAACAAGGAAACTTATTGTTTAAACTTAATTCAAAATATTATACAATCGTGTCATTTTATTTTTGTGCTTCAAAGGTGCTCAGTTGTGGTGTTTTACTTTTGCAGGGGTGGCATATGGTAGTCAGAGCAGTGAGGGTGTCAGCTCCCTCTCCAGCTCCCCCTCCAACAGCCTTGAGACTCAGTCCCAGAGTTTGTCCCGATCACAGAGCATGGACATTGACACTGCCTCCTGTGAAAAGAGGTAAGAGTTTTTCTAATGGCATATTGTATGGCCCAATTCAAAGGCTTTTAGCTCCATGAAATGACAGTTTGGGCTTTGAAGGTTGCTGTAAGAATGTCATCTCTATAATGAAGAACAGAAAATCTGTTCTTTAATTATATCAGTTACAACAGATTCCAATAGAAACAGATTTTCACGTTTCACACCAAAAAATGGAACACTTATTCACAAAATGACCACAGAAATGCAATGAGTATCACAGGTTGTTTTCAATTATAAAGCTGTAACAATATAGACTTGTTCCTTTTTTGAAGTTGCTTCAGTTTTATTGTTCTTCTGATTATTTGTGACAAAAATGAATAAAAATTATTTAAATTCAAGGCGCCACGTTTTACGAAATATAGTACCGTAATTAAGTTTGTTGTAAAAGAGATAATATGACACTTCACATGGACCACTGAGGTTTCAGTGTTGGCATGGTCTTCTTAGGGATGAAGAGACTTAATAAGCACTGTGCCCCTGTTTTATTCCAGCATGTCCCAGGTGGATGTGGACTCAGGGATAGAGAACATGGAGGTGGAGGACAGCGATCGCAGGGAGAAGAGGAACTTAACTGAAAAGGTAAACAGCACAGAGAATGTTACCGAAACGACAGTCTTTTATCTTTAATTACTTGGCCCACTTGACTTTGATCATGTCCATCTTGAGATCAAGTGAGTTTTTAAATGAGTAAACATAAAAAGTATGTTGGGTATTTACAGGAACTTAACTGGGGACTTTCCATAGATGCTGTTCGTTTCATTTTCTTTTATTTCAGTTCATTGATGCATACCTGTCTCTTTATAGACCACAGAGATCATGAGATAATGAGTATCATGAGAACCACAGTAATGCAAGTCCTTTTGACATTGACGCTGTGAATGTCTGCAGAGTGTGATCAAACCTTCGCTGTTGTTTCTGCACCCCAGGAAACCTCTGCAAACTCAGACGTCTCTGAAGAACAGGCTTTGCAGCTCATTTGTAAGATCCTCCGCGTATCGTGGAAGGAGCAGGATAGAGATGTCATCTTTCTCCCTTCACTGGCTGCAGAGTTCCACCAGAACTCTAAAGATGGTATGTGACTGAATCACTGTCCCCATAGCAACCCGAATGACCGTGCCCTCAGTGAAAAGGTCAAGTTTTGTGTAAAACTTGACAGATTCCTCCATTTGGTAACTTGACTTAATGATCTTTTTTTCCTGGTAGCATACTCCGACTTCAAAGACCTGATCGGCCAGATCCTGATGGAAGTTTTAATGATGTCCACCCAGTCACGTGTCCACAACCCCTTCGCCAGTTTGACCGCCACCTCTCAGCCAATTGCAGCAGCCAAATCTCCCGACCACCGTCTGACGCTGGTGCAGCCCTCCAGCCTAGGTGGCAGTCCCATGGGCCCCAGTGCAGGGTCCTTTGGAGCCAGCTCTCTGTCCAGGCAAGTACACTGACTCAGTATTATGAGCTCTGAAGTTTCCCAGAGAAGTGTCAGGGCTCTGGATTGGTTGTCATCTACACTTGTCCTCGAAAGTGTCTATAAGTTGGAAGCTGCCATGTGTGTTTTCCTTGTCTCTCTGATTTTGATTTGATCATTTTTGTTTAAGACATTGTTGCCTGATTAATCTTGCCAATGATCGTCTTATCAATGTTGTCCACAGTCTGTATGGGTGTGGTAGTCCTCACCCAATGGCTTTGGATGCAGCCAAGAGGACTTCTCCATCTCTTCCCACTCCTACTACATCCTCTGTACCTTCCACACCCTCTACCCCACAATTCATTGTTCCACCCAGCCCATCCGTTACTACCACGCCAAGACACTCCCTCAACCCTCCATCTGCCCCCATGCCCATCTCCCAACGCTATCGGCCTTACTCTGTCAACTCTCCCTGGGGGGTTCCTTCCCCATCTAGCTCTGGTCAAAGAGGATTTAGTTTCATTGGACCCTCTCCTAACCCTGCAGGGCCCTCTGTTCCTCCCAACACCCCAGTCCCTGTGCCACCACCCAGCCCCCAGTCCCTCTCCTTGAGCTCACCTTGGGCTCGCAACCTACCCTCCTCCACACCCCCAGCCATGGTGCCCCCTTCTCCCAGATCAAATACCCAGCAGACCGCCTTTGGTTCCAGGATCCCACCGTCTAGGTATCTTATCTGCCATTTGCGTGTCAGTGTGTGGTGCACATGCAAGTAAACGTACTAAAACCTTAACTTTTTGTGACGCACCGGAGAGTCTTTCAACTAAGTCTTTGCCCAGATCCCCTTTGTTGTATATATTGCTTCTGATATTATGTTTCATGTAGTCAGATGTCATCAACACAAGCTCATAATAATCTCAGCTGCATAAGATTTAGACTGCTCATCTAAAAGTCAGCCTGAACAACCTGATATTTTAGCATTTCCATGTATAAAATTATAAGTTAAGAAAAATGGATAATTCAAGCAGCAATCGTAAAAATAAATAAATAAATAAAGTATGTTGTCTGTTACAAATGCCCAAATGGTGATTCAAATCTGGGGAATTAAAAATATATTTAATCAAACATTACTTTACATTACTTGAAATTTAACAAAAATGCTAATATATGGGGTGTTCAGACACTTAACAGGCATTCTGGTTTCTTTATTTTGCAGCACTAAGACTGCTTATTGCTAACATGTATAATATGAAAACATCTAACCCGTTTGCATATAACTAATCTTAGATATAGTTTGACAAGCATGTTTAAAACATCCTGCATTGCTACAAGACTCTCAAGCAAATGATATGGGCTTCATGCCTCTTTGCAACGGCTTGCTCAACACAAGTTGTACGAGAGACAGTGACACTCAGTTCAGTTATGAGCTGAAAAAATGTTCTGACAGTATATTAAAGCTGCAGACAAAATGGCATTAATGAATATTTTAAAAAAAACAGCACAGGAAGCAGTTTTCACGCAAGCATGCAACCCTCCAGCATCCTCTCCGTAGTGCTCCCCTCCTCTGTCCTCTTTTCTTGTGACTTGTTACCATTCCACATTTGTCTTCATGTTTTTTCACTTCCTTTCTGTCTCTTCATGCTTTCACAACACCGTCTTTTCTTCCATTCTTTCCCTCACTCCTCCTGTCTTTTCCTCGTCATGTTAGCCCCTTGTCCTTCCTGTTCTTTGCCCTGTCTGACATGTCACAGGACAGCAGTGATGAAGATTCTGAGGAGGAGGAGGATTTTGCACGGGTTCAGTTTGGGTCCAGGTACACCGCTGCACGGTGTGTGTTAATGTGTGTATGCTTGCTCAATGATGGACCCGCTGCATGTTCCAATGGGCCCAGGAGGCTTTCGACTAACAGTGCACAAACACACCAGGGAGAAGTGGTGAAAGAACTGACATAGCCATCTTAGAGGGAGCTTCATTTGTTTTGGTCATCAGAGGTTTAGACATGAGATCCACTAACTATAACTTTTGGTGCATCATGTGATGGTAAGTAATAAATACCGTCTCAGTAGAAGACGATTAAAGTAATCAATGTTCCATAAAGAGCTGCAGGATAGAGAAATTGTCTGAGAAATTATCCTGTATTTCATAATACATTTCTCTGCCTATTTATTTCATATTTATTGGGTAAAGTCAATTGAATTTCATTTTTAATCTACATGAATATCTGCAGTACACTCTAATGGTCCTCAACCCAGATAAAATGATCCCCAACCTTGAGAGAGCATGTCAATTTAAAGAGAAGATTTCCCCATTTAGTACAGCATGAGACTTGTGTTTATAAATTTTCTGCATGGCATATCATTAAGTTACAACAGGTAGTCTTATTTCTTGCTCTTTGGGCATTTCTACTGCTACTTAGTAAAGTGTTTAGGTGAAGTCATATTGTCTTCCCAAAACAAATGCTCATTGGCCAAATGAGTTTTAGTTTAAGTAGCATCTCATTTCTCTTCAGGAAACACTGGCATGCGTACAGTTACATTGTTATTGAAGTTACTTGTCAGTATAACCTGTTGTGTTGATTTGAGTTTTAGCTTCAGGAACAATTGTAACCCTGGGCAGCAGCAATTATTCTTGCGTTGCCTGCGTCCAACGGACAAATAACAAGGTTCATTTTATTACCTCCTAAGGTTTATCGTGCTTTGAAGCAGCTCACATACAGGTTTTGCGGTTACAGCTGACCACTAACAGCAATTTCAACTTATGCCACAACATTTGTCAGTTAAATGCGACAAGCTGAATCATAATATTGGCTTTGAAGTCTTAATTTGATTCTATATAAACTCTTTTTTTCCTTTTTCAAGAGCCCAGCGCTGAGATTCTGAAACGCTGTCACTAATGCCTTATAGTTTGTTTCTTTCAGGACCCTTGAGAATGGGTTTGTGCTTGTTAACCATGCAGACATGAAAATGTTTAATGCTAACTGTACATCTCTCTGTGCTGTGGTGGTTCTTTTACTTAAAGAGCGACCCTCTGTCCTTGTTTCTGTGTTTACATTCCTGTTTATAGTCTTGGTGCATGTGGAGGGGGGATGTCCTGCGATTCAGCCAGCGACCGCTTCACCATTGAGGCATGCAAAGAGACAGAGATGCTGAACTACCTCATTGAGCGTTTTGACAGTGTTGGCATGGAGGAGAGGAAAGCTCCCAAGGTAGCTCGCTGTCTGCAAGATAAAGAAATGTCTCAACCAGGTTTTGTTTAGAAAAATTATGCTAAAAAAAATATTAAGCGATTCTGTGGAAACATTAAGATTTTGAGATCACTTTTAGCTGAGTAACCCTTGTGATAACAATGACTGATATTTCATGTTCTTTTAAGCTTATTCACCATGTCTAAATTGGTTACAAAATGTCCCGAGGACAGGAGAACAGTCTGTACTTCAGAGACTAGCTGCAGCCCAGTTGGTCTGGAAATGAGTGGAGGTTTTTCTCATCAAAAAAAACTGATTCAGCAGAGTCTGCAGAGAGTTTCTGTGGAATTGTCAGCATACATTTTTTTTCACAGGTCTGCTCTGACCGTTTTCTCTCTTCTCCTCTCTTCCTTGTTTCTCACTCAGATGTGCAGCCAACCAAATGTCAGCCAGCTTCTCAGCAACATTCGCTCTCAGTGTATTTCTCACGTTGCCCTGGTCCTCCAAGGCACCTTGACACAGCCTCGGTAAGCAAGCCAGCAGCACACTGTGACAATCTTTGGACTATTTTCTTATATCATTATATTTTTGTACATTCTGTGCCTTTTCCTTCCTCAGTCTCCATAGCAACCACTCTTTCACCTTGCCTTCAAACATATTCATTCATTCATTTATTTATTTATTTATTTATTTTCACCACGGTGCTTCTGTCTGTTTTCTACATGTAGAAACCCTCTCCAGCAGTCTCTGCTGGTACCTTATATGCTGTGTCGGAACCTTCCATACGGCTTTATTCAGGAGCTGGCGCGCATTACCCACCAGGAGGAGGAAGTGTTCAGACAGGTGGGATGCACGCCCATCCATTTCTGATGCGTTTATACTAAATCAGGGTCACTTTTGTAAGCTGAAACCCATCGCAGCATACACACCCCAAACACACTCGTATTTAGTGCTATAGACCAAGGAAATGACACATACATTCTGATTAAAAAGCAAAACCTGTCTCAAGAGGCAAGAATAAACCAAATATGAGATCACCGTTCACTGTGACTACTTACATGAATGTAATTGGGGTGATACCTTGTTTTGGTCGGTCACTCTAAAGCACCTTCACACAGTGATGGAGAATTTGCAATAATTGAGGCAAACGTGCAGTTATCCACAACTTGATAGTTTGCTGGAAATTAATTTCCATAAGTTGACGTAGCACTGATGCATGACTTGTTTACTATCGCTCCTGTATCTTTTTATTTTTCAGATCTTCATTCCCATCCTTCATGGGCTGGCTCTTGCAGTGAAAGAATGTTCTTTTGACAGTGACAACTTTAAATTCCCCCTCATGGTAAGCAGATGTCGTCCCTGCCTGATCTATACTCTAGTACCAGACAGGAGATGAGACTGTAGTTACAGTTACAGGGGATGTACAGTACAGCAGGGCTTAATGAGGTTCTGGCAGCCTGATAGACAGCTCAAGATGTATAGTATATGAACTGGATGTGTGCCAACATCCTTAAATATACATATAATGCTGTTCCCACTGTGCTGCTTCTCCTCTTGGATAGATAGTACAGTGATGTTCTTGACGTTCTTACCTAGAAATTCAGAGTGAAGCTGCATCTTATATTCACCATTCATGCTAGCATACACAATAATAAAGTACTATAATCTGATTTGGGACAACTGTAATTTTGGTGCATATAAATAATACATTTTCTAAAACATTGTTGTCATTTGAACATTGTATGAAAAGTGTTGCGGTTGTAATTTTTCTTATTAAATTAAAAATGGTAAGTAATATCTTGAATCATCAACTAATCTCAAAGTTGTGCAAAAACCATATATATTGTATTGTGGTCATGGAAGATTTGCATCAGTTGTGTTTTGTTTTTACAGGCATTAGCTGAACTTTGTGAAATCAAGTTTGGAAAGACTCACCCAGTGTGCAGTTTGGTGAGTGTACAGTTCGATACCTAAATCTAAATTATCTGATTAAGTGTTCATCATTATGTCCCCGAGGCTCAAATTATTCAGGCCATGTACTTCTCTAATTTTGTCACCAAACAGTTCCTTTCCAAATATTTCCTTGAGTTTTGCGGTTGTCTTTGTTGTTTATACTTTCCTCATACCAAGATGCCCAGCTGACATCATCAAATTAAATTTGTCCTGCTTGTTTTATTCATGACATTTAGCTTCTCTTAATGAGCTAAACTGCATAAGCAGGTAGGAATAAATGGTTCAGTTCCGATTCTAGCACCCCTAGTTCAATAAAAGGTGTCAATTGTTTGTGACTTGAAACCACAGAAAACCTGTGCACCCCTGTGTGTAATATGTGTCTCCGTCATGGCTCCTCTGTACAGGCAACATCGCTGCCTCTGTGGTGTCCCAAACCACTGAGCCCTGGTTGTGGCAGAGAGATCCAGAGACTGTCCTACCTGGGAGCCTTCTTCAGCCTCTCTGTGTTTGCTGAGGACGATGTGAGTTGATGATTCAGTTAAACAAGTAAATGCCAATTGGCTACAATCTGGTGCTATTGAATTTATACTAATTCTTTTAAGTTCCTGCCAGCTGCAGAAGTCTGCTCTGAGAATGGAGAGTAGACTTAATACTTCAGAAAACAAAGTTTGTTTGATGTGCATGTTTTTAATGTGTCATCGTTGATCTTTTTCCTTTAGACCAAAGTGGGAGACAAGTATTTCTCGGGCCCTGCTATCACCATGGAGAACACGCGAGTTGTCAGCCAATCATTGCAGCACTACCTGGAGTCAGCAAGGGTGAGTTTCCACTTTAAGGTTTTTATTTAATAGCTGTTTGTATCAGTGTAGAGTAATTTGTTAAAGTTGCATGTCATCTTTTCCAGGGTGACCTGTTCAAAGTTCTCCACAACATCCTACTAAATGGAGAGACACGCGAGTTAGCTCTTAATTACATGGCAGCTTTAGTCAACTACAATGTGAAGAAAGCCCAGATGCAGGTGAGTCGCAGAAGTTATTCAGTAAAACCAAAGTTGTTTACGGTTACCAAACTTCCACATTAAGAGAAACAGTAGTGTTAAACATAGATTCACTTTTATACCATGCCCCTTATTATAAAAATGTTAAAAATTTCCCATAAAGAAACGGAAGACTAGAGGGTTTTTCCAATACATTTCAGCAACCTGAAGCTTTGACATTCCTGAATTCAAGGTTTAAGAAATGTGTACCCCTGCTCTGTGATACACAGTGCTATGCAAAGGTTTGGCACTGTTAACCTAACCTATGTTCTTATTATGATTTAAAAATCTAAAATACTGTACATGCAGATTTGTACAGTTCTTGACACATTAGGATGCATACATACATATCTACACACATTGTGTCATCTGGACTTGTGTTAGTGAAAAATGTAGGAGGCAAATTTCACTTTTTTGCTGACCTGTTCTCATTCAGGTTGTATACACAGCTTTTGAACATTAATTTCTCCTTTCTCCCAGACCGATGACAAGCTGGTGTCTACAGACGGCTTCATGCTCAACTTTTTATGGGTGCTGCAACAGCTGAGCATGAAGATCAAGCTGGAGACAGTGGACCCTTATTACATTTTCCATCCACGCTGTCGCCTTGCTGTCAGCCTAGAGGAAACGCGTCTAAAGGCCACCATGGAGGAGCTGAAGAGCTGGCTGACTGAACTGCGTAAGTTGACATTAATGAATCAGAAAGCTTTTATGAATGTCTGAATGTTTGATATTTTGTTGTGTTTTATTTTCCCACTACACAGACAATTAATATTTTTATGTAACTTACCTTTGTTTTATGATGTTTTTTTTTTTCCTGTTTTTAATTGCTGTTTTTTTTTCCCCATTTTCCTTCTGCAAAGCACTTTAAGAAAATTGCTATATAAATAAAGTTTATTATTATATTATGAAAATACATAGATACATGATTGTGAGGATTCTAGGTAATGTTTTTAAGAATGTTTTGTTCTTGAAGTTTAAAGTAATTAGGTGGTATTATGCTTTGGTATTTCAATAATGCACTTCGGCTACATGGTTCATAAACTGCTGCCATTTTTAGAAATCTGTTAATTGCTTGTAGAGAAGCCATTTTGCATATTTATCAGTTCTCAGTGATTCATCAACATGCCAGATTTATGATTTTCTTTTTTCCCCCCTAAGTAATCCAATTAATCTCGGATGAATCATCCTTGTCTTACTGTCTCTGTCTTCCTTTTGACTCTGCTTTATTTTGAGTCATCTACAAAACAACAGCACCTACACATGCTGTACCATATACAGTACATATTGTATGTTATGATTGAAATATTATTATAATTATTATTTTATAATGGGAATTATGAATTTTATTTGTTCACACGGACAGACGAAGACCCCACCAAGTTCTCAGAACCCAAGTTCCCCACCGAGTGCTTCTTCTTGACGCTGCACACCCACCATTTGTCCATCCTGCCTGGCTGCAGGCGCTACATCCGCAGGTTGCGAGCCATCCGTGAACTGAACAGGTATACACACACACACACACACACACACACACACACACACAGGTATTCAAAGCATGCTTAGTCTATGTGGGTTAACCCTAACCCTATTGCTGTGCTTACCCTGTTAGGACTGTAGAGGAGCTGAAGAACAGTGAAAGCCAATGGAAAGATTCTCCTCTGGCCAGTCGACACAGAGAGATGCTCAAGCGATGCAAAACCCAGCTCAAGGTCAGTTTAACATCCTTGAGATGCACCTGCTGTCTTCCCTTCATTTACTGATTAAACACAGATTTAAAGGTAGAGACCTGCAAACACTCATTTCTCAGTTCACTATCATTAAATGCTGAAACATGCAGGATTCTGCAACAGAGCATATTTACAGAGATTTGATCTTTATCATGTGTGACTTCGTCCTGTCAGAAACTGGTGCGAGCCAAAGCTTGTGCTGACGTGGGCCTTCTGGATGAGAACCTGCTCCGCCGATGTCTGCAGTTCTACAGCACAGTAATTCAGCTCATTCTCCGCATAGTGGACCCTGCCTACCCCAAGTGAGTTTCCCTGCCACTGACAGGCCATGTTTGCCATTGTTGTGATACTGATGTAAAAGGACCAGATATGGAAACACCCAAAGGGTTTTTTTTTTTTTTTTTTTTTTTTTTCTCGTTCTATGCTGACTGTCATTCTGTGTTTCAATTCAGAGTAAACTTTAAATCAGTATGTAACCGTAACATTTATTTCTTCATCCCTTTTGCAGCATTACTCTGCCACTGAATCCTGAGATTCCCAAAAGCTTTGCTGCTCTCCCCGAGTTCTACATTGAAGATGTGGCCGAGTTTCTGCTTTTTGTTGTGCAGTAAGTTCATAGTTCAGTCTTTCACACATTGGTTAACTGTGTGTTAACAGTGAATTGTGGATCGCAGTAATAAAAGTGATAGATTTGTCAATCCACAGTATGTGATGTATTGGTTACAAAAATAGTATCTGCATCCATACAGAAGCCAAAGACAGGAGTGATTAATAGGCTTTAATCACTTCCCCCACCTTGTCTTCCTCCTTTGTTCCAGGTATTCTCCCCAGGTTTTATATGAGCCATGTGTCCAGGACATTGTCACCTTCTTGGTGGTGTTCATCTGCAGCCAGAATTACATCAGGAACCCCTACCTTATCGCCAAGTTAGTGGAGGTGCTGTTTGTCACCAACCCCGCTGTACAGCCTCGTACTCAGCGATTTTCTGAAATGATGGAGAACCACCCGTTGTCTGTCAAACAGCTGGTCCCTGCACTCATGAAGTTCTACACTGGTGTGTACCATGTATACTGTAATCCTATCTGCAAGAAAGAATAATGAAGTAGTTTTTAGTCCTTATGTAGCTGACATATACATATTTCTTTTTCTCGACTGTCTCCTCTGGTCAGATGTTGAGCATACTGGCGCCACCAGCGAGTTCTATGATAAGTTCACTATACGGTACCATATCAGCACTATCTTCAAGAGTCTCTGGCAGAACATTGCCCACCATGGCACCTTCATGGAGGAGTTCAAGTGAGTGTGCTTTTGCAAAAATTACGCAATTTAGTTTCGGGCAAGTGCCTGTCTCATGTGAATTGAAATCCATCCTCACCGTCTCTTTCATCTTCCTCTGTTTTTACTCCTCTCTAGCTCTGGCAAGCAGTTTGTGCGCTACATCAACATGCTGATTAACGACACCACCTTCTTGTTAGACGAGAGCCTTGAGTCCCTGAAGCGTATTCACGAAGTTCAGGAAGAGATGAAGAATAAGGAGCAGTGGGAGCAGCTCCCTAGGGTCGGTGCTCAGCCTTATGATTAGAGTTGGTCATGTGAGGATTAAAACATTGTGCATTGACAGTATAAAACCATATCCATTAAAACTGGCTTTAATTACATTGAATGACAGACTTTGGCTCGTGAGAAGCATTCATATTTGTTTGGTTTTCTGGCACCTCAGTATTATTAAGTGCCAAGTTAAAAAAAATTCTGAGTTCCCCAATCGTAATTACAACTTGGATATTGACGTGACCACTGTTAACAAGTCGGAAACTTGTAATCAGGATAAGTCTGATATGACCTGATTGCATTATTAACCTCTAAAAGGACAAGATAAAAATTAAAACAGTAAAAACTAAACGATGACAAAGGTTACAGGGGATATTTTGAGCTGGAGCATATTGTCACCTAAACTCACCACATTGATATTTCTGCTGAGATATGAGGCTAGTGGACAGCTGTTGAAGAAATGGTGTTTACTAAGTGTTATCCTGCCAACTTTTCAGGAGCAGCAGCAGAGCCGCCAGTCCCAGCTGACTCAGGATGAGCGGGTGTCCCGCTCCTATCTGGCCCTGGCCACAGAGACGGTTGAAATGTTCCACATCCTAACCAAGCAGGTCCAGAAGCCTTTCCTCAGGCCTGTGAGTGTCGCTGCCCCCACTGGACATTTTGTAAAATGGGCACTCGTGCTTGATGAATTCTAGGCTCAGACGAGCTAATTCTAAACAGTGACTTCTTCTTCACACAGGAGCTGGGGCCTCGTTTAGCTGCCATGCTGAACTTTAACCTCCAGCAGCTCTGTGGGCCTAAGTGTCGGGACCTTAAGGTGGAGAACCCCGAGAAGTATGGCTTTGAGCCCAAGAAGCTCTTAGACCAGCTGACTGACATCTACCTGCAACTAGACTGTGCCCGCTTTGCTAAAGCAATTGCAGACGACCAGGTAGGCGCAAAAGGAGTTGAAGTGTACACTTTATCACAAATGCAGCATTTAGAGTACTTGGGAGGTTGTTATGATGAATACTGGTCATGAGATAAGGCTGTAGGCAATTGAGGTTAGCACAGTTACGGTCGTATTGCCTTTAAGACATCACTATGAAAGCTCTCTTGTACTCAGTGAACATAATAGTGTTTCACCCACTTCTCCCCAAATAATGCAAGCCGGAGGAAGCGAGGTACCAAATACTGTCGACTAGTTTTTATGTGTTAAGTGAACAGTTTGCTACATTCACATGATGTGTTTATGTGGTACTGTGTCTTGTTAAAGCACCACAGACATCCACGTGATTGGATATTTCGGTTTGAACTTGAAAGAGCAAAGTAACATTTAAATATTGATTTTTCGCAGTTGACAATGAGTGATTTGTTCCTTGGGAATCCTTTAATTTGAAACAGTTCCAGTGTCGTAACATTCAGTTTTCTAATTTGCCCCTCTTGCTTGTTGCACAGTGTGACAACCATAAAAATGTGTGCAGACATAACTGTGTTTTACAACTTAAATGTGATAGTAACACACAGTTAAGGTACTGATCATTTCAAAGGTGCTCTTCTCTCGCAGCTCCCTAATGATTCTCTTCCTGTTATTTGTTGCTATGCAGCGGTCGTACAGCCGTGAGCTCTTTGAGGAGGTGATCTCAAAGATGAGGAAGGCTGGAATTAAGTCCTCCATTGCCATTGAAAAATTCAAGCTGCTGTCGGAGAAGGTGGAAGAAATAGTCGCCAAGAACTCCCAGTCTGAAATGGACTACAGTGATGCACCTGATGAGTTCAAAGGTCTGTATGTGTGTTTGTCCACCATGTTTTTAAGCATTACACCTGCAGTGTTTAAATCTGTTTATCCAAAAGAGAGGTAAAGGTAAATTGGCTGAAGAAGCCATAAGCCTGACCATACATACTGTGTTTACATATCTCATTTTCTCATATTTCTGTACAGTCCCCAATATTACAGAGTCCCAAACCTATTTGGAAAATTAGTTTGATCGTCTCTGAATTATAAAAAGACAAAATAATCATAGTGATGTCTTGTTGATATTCACAATCATTTCTCATGATGTATTAGTTGAATATCCACAATGAAGAAACTGCGAGGGCCTATCTGTCTTATTGCTCTGTTTCCACCAGCATCGTATTAACATCTTTAAATACAGTTTTTAAATGAACTTACAAATGTTAAAAAAAAAAGATTTTTGTGGTGACTAGCCACATCTAGCAAGTCACTGAATCTCTGTTAAAAAAAGAAAAGAAAAGTAGATCAAGTAATTTGCTTAGAAATCTGATGTGAACTCAGGTCAGTCGGTGCAGATGGACAGAATCTTCAAGTGCCTCTGTTGCTGTTAAATTCCAGACATTTGCAGGGGATTTTGTAGCTCATAGAGGTCATATAGACAGCTTAGAGCAGGGCTATCATGTATCCACAGACTTAATATAATCTAGTAAGAGAACGTGGCCCACATACCTCCTTTGATTCCCACATATGCCAGCCAACCCACCACAGTTGATGGAAGTGTGCCATACAGGAGGCTTCAGTATCAGTTTTCTATGTGGTTAAAATCTCCCATGCCGGGTTTTATTTTTGTATCGCACAGTCTTACTGTAACAACCTTGTGACATTTCAATATAGGGCACACTTTATTGAACGCTCTTATTGAATATTTATTGGATATTTTCTTTACTGGTGTTTTTACAGGTGCAATAATATTGCTGTCATATAAAACGCATCATTTTTTCAGCAGTTGGGGTTGTGCATTTCACTGACCCATTGAATTATGGGTCTGATGAAGACATATCTTACATGTTATTCATTGAATTTAGTTGTTTTTCATTTTTCCTTCAAAAGTATTTTAATTTAGTCTTTTTTGTTTGTTTGTTTATTTTTTGTTTTATTCAATAACTCTAAAACCAGAGGATAGATAAGATAGTAGAATACCTCTTTTCAGATCCATGCACAACATTTGAATACTGATCCTTCTCCAAACACAAGGAGCAGCCTGTTGAGCAGGGTCTGATGTTTGATTTTTCTCTTTAAAGAAAGAAAAAGGATAACAGGATATAATGACAATAGCATTCACTGTGATGAAAGGAAGATGCCAGTTCTGCTGTTGATGAAACACAATTTCTGCACAGAAGCATAAAACCAGGATAGGCAGTTACAGGTTGTTGGTTTTTGTTTTGGGAATTTTTGCATCTCAGTCTTCTGTAAAATGTACATGTAACTGTGTTGTAACAGACCCTCTGATGGACACACTGATGACTGACCCAGTGATGCTGCCTTCGGGGAACATCATGGACCGATCTATCATCCTACGCCACCTGCTCAACTCCCCCACTGATCCCTTCAATAGGCAGCCACTCACAGAGAGCATGCTGGAGTCAGGTAACCCCACCACGTTGCCTTTTCACCAGTAATTACATGTAAAACAATTCTGTTCAAGGTGTGCGAGGGCAAAGTGCAAAAGTCTGTCTTATTAGAAAGCAAAGCAAGTATTAGATTGTGAGCGTCATTTTCTCAGATGTTCCTCATAATCTCTTGTTAATTCTACAGTCCCTGAACTGAAGGAGAGGATCCATGCCTGGATGAGAGAGAAACAGGGTGGGCGGCCTGTCTAAGGACCACATGTCACCAACGTCCGGCCTGCTAACCATCATTAAGGGATCTGTCCAAATCGCCTGAATTCAGTGTCACAACTACCAATGACAACAAAAAACATTTTAAATGGAAAAAAAAGGAGACCTGATTTGATTTTTTTTTTCTTTTTTTTTTTTTTTTTATTCGCATTTACCCTTTTTGTCTCAAACCATTATCATGGTTCTAAAAACAAAACATAATAAAGTTAAAACTTTTAAGTTTTTTCTCATGAGTTTGTGTATATATATATCAAAATATATACATATATTTAACAAGAGTTAGTTAATGCATTATAATGCTGCAAGATTAAGTTTCCACCAACAGGTTTACCAGCGAGGTGCAAACACTCACTTCACTGATCATCTTCCTTTACTGTTCTCATTTTGTTTTGTAATACTGTGTATGTTGGCTTCATTGAAGACTTATAATTATTTGAGGCAGGTGGGAGGGCAATACATTTGGGGGAGTCTGGGTGGGTGCTGATAAAATTGCTAGCCCTGAGTTTTCATTATGAAGACTGTGACAATGATGAACTTGAGTCCACATAATGTATGCTGGTGTCCTAACACATGCACAGTTTGTGCTTGTAGACGAAGTTCAGAACTGGGAATAATCATTAAGGATGTAGCTTAACGTAAACTAATCCTAAAGTTAGCTTCCTTTCGAGTACAGTAGGAAGATAAGCAGTGGTTTACCAAAATACAGTATATTCAGTTGTTCCTTTTAGTCACATTCTTCCTGCTCACTTCGATAAACTGAATTTACTTCTTGTGTGTGCATGGCCTCAAGTTCAGAACCTCCTAAGCGCCTCATGGACAAATAACCCTCTTTTAGGCGAAGTGAAAGGACAATGAGAGAATGTAGCATGACCACCAGAAACACCATAGTAGGAGCACACCATTAAAGTCTGTTCGTCAGAGCCACTGACATCTCACCTCAACATGGTCTCTTTCAAATGGCACTGTACCTAACTTGACCTTGCTGACCTTAACTGTACAGGAAATGATTTCCTTTAACCACATACCTGTTTTGGAAGCTAGGATTTTGAACTGAAATAAATGATGATGCACATTATTTCACAACTCGTCACTGGTTTTTCCTCAGATGGATGCCTTAGTGGTTTGGTTTGGCCCCATTTTTTAAAGTGTATTTGACATGAAAAGACAGATGCTGCATAAAACAAAATGTCAGGTTATACAAAATCTAAAATTTATATCACTAATAGATACTGATGTAAAGAGAGTAAACATTGAGCTACCCAGGTGACTAGGTGAGATTAAATAACACAATAAAATACCAAAATTATCAATAAAATCACTCAAAAGTCAAACATAAAAATTTCATACAAATTAAAACTTTGGCAAAAATTAGTGGCGTTTTTTTTTTTTTTTTTAAGGGTAACTTATTCCAGTTCCTGACAACACAATCTTTTTTTTTTTTGGAATGTGGTTTCCCAAATGCACAAGCTTAGTCATTCTTCTACTGTAACTGTTATTAACTAATGGATTGACTTGGGCAACTGTCCCAATTTTATTGGCAAGATTTAAACCGTGTATAATAAAGGTTAAACCTGAGCGGTTTATCTCGAAAAACCAGAAATTACCCCTTAGTCACTCTTGAAGGTGATCACCTTTGTTACAAACCATGACAAGCCTACGTTCAAAAAACGAACATTAGCTAAATGGAATTTAATTTTGTCAAACACAAAAATTGAGCAGAAAATGTCGTTTCTGATGAGGTTTTAATTTATACTGTTCAAAATAAATATAAAATAGGCCTTATGGTACGTATGTGGTTTTAAATGTAGAAAAGGATTGTAAACATTGTGAAGTTAATGAAATGTACTTCAGCGTTTTTTAAGCACTGAGATGTGACGTGCTCCATTACTCGCTAGGGGGCGCTCTTTGCGGTGACCCTGGGTGTTGCGGTGATAGCGGTGCGGGGAGCGGTGGTTAGAAATCCTGCAGTGTGGCGTCACGGTCGTGAAAAAAAGGGAAATAAACCCCGCCCACTCTCTCTCTCCCTTCCGATACCGAGGATTATTATAGGCTCTGCGACGCATTTGTCACCAATATCTCTTCGTTGATTGGCCCGTAAGGCTGCCAGTCAGCGTGGCCGAGAAGGAGTTGACGTAATCTCTTCGGTAAATCAAGGCAATCTATCAATTCTTCTTTTCGCTTGTGTGCAGATAGACGTCCGCCTTTTATCTCCACGGGAAAATAAACTCGTCAGAAATTCACCGGTTGCAACACAGCTCCATCCGGCGGAGGATACCGCTATAATGGGTGTTTTTTACGAAATTGGACTTTGTAACAGTTTTCGTGCTCGCAGATTCTGATAAAAACAACACATTTTGACGCCCGCTAGCTAACGTTAGTTCTCGCCACTGTCCGGTGGTGTTGGTGTTATCCTGGTGAGAGTCTTAAAACGTGAGTAAAAAATGTTGAATTAATTTCTTTATTTACGTCTTTAATGTATGTAGCGCACGAGGTTGTTATTACAGATTCATTTAAGGTAGTTGTTAGTGGCTGATGAACGACTATCTGTTAGCAACGTTAAAGTGTCTGGCAATGTGTTTGGACCCGGTTACGGTGACAGTTTATTGAATTCATTAAATTTAATTTACAAACTGTATAATATTATTCGTTTACGAGCAAAGTGTCTGTCTTTGGGTGCATCGTCAAATCCGTCAGACACCGGAGGTTAGTTAGTTCCGTCTCGTAACGCTAGATACTGAAGTAACTGCAGTCAGTGTTTCATAGCTTAACGCTAGCTCATAGTGAAAAATATAGCAGATACTGTATGAAACATTGCACCCATTAGCATTTAATGTTAAATTTCTCATACCCTCCCATGCAGGTTACACCAGGAACAATGTCGAGTCTGTGCTGCTAAAATAAGCATGCAACTCCTCCCTGCACTGTTCCACAACATACAGCATCGGAGGATTAGCCTACTTCCTAACATCGGCGAATTTAATTTTTTAAAACGAAGATTTAAGCTCTTTGTCTGCACAGAATGAGCACCGCTGGATGCAGCAGACAGGCCGAGCTCACTGTCCCACTGTAGCCCAAACCAAATAGGGCAGATAGAATTTCATGGGCGTATGCTTTAGCAAGTATGGCTGACTGCAAGGACATGGAAAAACATGAGATATTTGGCCTATGTAGTCACGGGGCGCGTGAGGTATAGCTTAAATTCACGGTAAACATATCGCAAAGTTGTGTTATTATAAAACAATAAATTATACTCTTTATGCAGCTCAGTTGTTATATGTGATATTAATATTTTTATTTGCCAAACGAGTATTTCACACTTACTGTTTATTTATAAATTAAATGCATCCCTTTGCAGCCTTTATTTGACTGTTAAATCTTTGATCGGCTGCTGTTTACAAAATATTAAAGCGCTTCAGTGGCTTTGGTCGGCCATATTTGTTGTAGGCTGTTATTACTGGAAACTGGGAGGCAATGGATTGTCATTGTGTTTGATTTACATTTTGTCAGAATTGTATTCTGGCAGTTTATATATTTTAAACGAGGAAACAAACACAGTCTTGCCTCATTTACTTAACACCACATAGTTTTTTATTTTTTTATTTTTTTACAAAGCAGATGCAAATATCTCTATTTCTGTGTTTCCTTTAGGAGGGATATACAAAGAATCTTACTTGGAGACAGTCCTAAACCACAAACATGTCTGGGGCGTCTGTTAAAGTCGCCGTTCGAGTTCGGCCCTTCAACTCCAGGGAGATGAGCAAGGATTCAAAATGTATAATTCAGATGCAAGGCAACACTACAAGTAAGTAGTCCATTGGCATTCACACAACATGATTTATCAAATTTATACAGGGCTTTCTGCTCAGGGAAGTTCAGTATACCACACATGCACCCGCGTGGTCTTCCTTCAGGGGTCTTAGCAGAGAACAGTAGAATGAGCAAACTGAATAGTGGACGGTTGGGGACAAACAGCTCAAAAGAGAATAAAAGGCTTACAGAGTGAAATTCCTCCTCCTCTGAAGGGGCCTGCATGCCTGAGGAGTCTCTCTGTGTGAGAAACGCTGAGTTGGTTCATACTGGGAGACCCAGGGGTCGCTACAAAGCCTGGCCTGCAAACACCCCCAATTCATCAAGGCTTTATCACACAGTTGGTGTTTTTAAGAATGGATATGAATGTTGCTTTGTAGTTTATGACTATGTTATCTTTTAGTCTACACAAACAGTTTGTGAAGAGCTTGTAGAGGCATATAAAGTGTTATGGTCAGAAGTTAATCTTTTACCAAATGTACAGATTTTTATTTTGCTGCAATTTCACAAAGAAAAAAAAAGTGATTGGGTTAAATTTACAAAGGCCCACTGACATTGGATAAAAATGAACGCAATTTCTCAGATGTTGCAGCGTCATCAGATACGTATCGCCTTTAATAACATATTATTAGGATGATGTTGTATACATGTAGTTAATATGATTCATCCTCATGCTTAAGTCGCTCTTGGTTTTTACACATGTGCAGGGTGTATGAAAACATGGCTGCAATATTCGTGGAAATTAAAATTGATAATGGAAAGACGGATGTATTCAAATAAACTAGATAATAAAATCTGATGTGCACTAGCAAAGGTAGGTAGGTTAGATAGGTTTCCACGAATATATTAAACTTGATGGTGTAAATCTGTGATGATACCCTGCTTCGGTGCTGTTCTTGGGGAGTCTGTGAAAGGATGGACAACAGCGGAGAAAGAGAAGAAAACCTGAATGTGGTTTGTAGTCTTGTGATTCAACCTGCTTACTTGTGACTGTGAGTCATCAGATACTGTGAAGTGCTAGCTACCTCCTCTTGCTCATGCCTGTGCTGTATGTCCCATTTCAGCTGGCAGATGAACACTCTCCATGATATTAGCATGGAAACATTTAATGGCCCAGTAACATGACAGCATGTGACCACAGAAACCTGTTCTGCCAGCAGATTCTCTTATTTGCCTTTTGTCTGTCAGTCTTAGGCTCGTTAGACTAAGCCTATATGAATCTTCCATAAGATCAAGTGTCCCTTCCAGTTATGGCTCACTTGTCCTTTATCTCTCATACTCTACCAAAGAGAAGCTTTGTGTCAAATCCCCAGTACTTTTACTCCATATCCCTGGGTTTTCATTATGCCAATGTCACCCGGAGGTGCTGGAGGGTGACTCGTGGTTTGTAGAAGAACTGCAGTGGAATATGCAGTGTTTTTGGGGGGTTAGTAAGTGAGTGTGTGAGCGAGGGAGAGGAGGAGGCTGCAGTACTGCCTACTCTACCTCCTATCACATGGGCAGATTGCAGAGCAGAAAGGGAGGCTGGCAGGCAGCCATACTCTCTCCCTTCATCAGGACTTCATTGCAGATGGTATGCTGAGAATGCTATCTTATTAGGATGCTGAGAGGTTGAATGGTAGGTAGTGTCTCAAACGTACACAGGTTCATACATGACATGCAGTTGAGGTTATCTGGCATGCTGTGTGAAAATCTAACATTTCTGTAGTTGTGTTCACTGGATTTCCTCACACTTTGTGTCCATCACTGTTTACCAAAGTCACATAGAACTTATTACATATGCATTTTTGTATAATTTTTTAGTCTAAACAATTCAACAGTGGTTTGTTTGGGAGGCCCAGTGGTAGTGTGCACAATGTTTTAATGGATTTCACACAGCGATACTGTAGGATTGTTTTTCATGACTAACATATACATATAATTCCCTAATTCTGTTATTTATAACCCATCTCAATCACGTGATATGTGAAGTGGTTATGAGATATATGTAACTTGCTTGGTGTTTATTCATCTCAAATTAGGGCTGATCGATATGACTTGAAAATCAATATCATGATTATTTCAAACTTTTACCTTGATTATAATTAATGAATGATTACTTTGGCGCTTATCGGTCTCTCTCTTTTTTTGAGCTATGTACTCTTCATATTTGGCAATGTGATTGTGTTCAAAGTGATTAAACAAATTGCTGATGTTACCTCTGATCGTTATCCATGTTGCATTCACCGCTGTCTGGTAGTCTTGACTGGTAAGACCAAATCAGAAGGCGAGGCACGTTTGCAAGTGTCTGAGAAAACTCTGGAGTATTGTGGACTCCAAGTGTAAACATAGCAAAAGTGATGCGTTTTAAATTTGAAACGTATTAGTGTAGACGTAGCCTAAGGCTCAGTGTTTGCACTCATGTCATCCATATCGCCGACCTCCTCTTTGAGTGATCGTGCACTTACATTCGTTGGACAGGGCGGAGGCATGTGCCTAAACACAGTTCACGAACGCACGCATTGGGGAAAGTATTAACTGAATTAACCAACATGAGCAAGATGAAATCGGTGAGAGGTTCTAAATTTTGATTATGATATTTTTTTGGTTAAATCCTCTTCCTTATAGTCGCTCAAATTCATATTTGTAACAAAGAATTCCAAATGTTACAATTTTTCACAACAGAAAAAAGTATTGCGACATCCATACGAACTTCTCAAACCACCACTGCAGCAAAATTTTTTAGGATCTCTGTGATCAACATGTCATACTTTTGCCATGTATTAGGAGATCTTTAGTGATGGCTAACATTTAAATGGCACTGAAAGCTGCCTGACAGAAATGGGCTGTTTTATGGAATTGCTTGGTCAGCTTGTAGGTGTTTGGCAGATGTGTGGATGAAGCCGTGGCACTCCCCTTATTGTTGTGACTCGCTCAAGGGCGTATGTGTCTGTCTGTGTGCATGTGTCAACAACACAGAGCAAGAGAGGGCTTGGGGGCAAGGGCAGGATATGCTGTCTCCCTTTCTCTCTTGCTCCTTTTCACCATGCATGGAGGGTTGTCAAGGATAGGGCACAGGCAGAAGGGGCAGCAAATTGATTATCCAGTGTGCAGGAAATGTGTCCAAGGCCTCTGCAGGCAGGCTGGAGACAAGTAAAGGCCTCTTTCAATGGAAGCTCTTAAACATACCAGAGCTAATGTAATTATAAAGGGGTGTGCGATGGGCTGTTACATTAGTTAGTGTTGGTGCTCCAAATGTTGAATAACTCCAGAACACCCAAACCCTGCCTTCATTAGAGCCCTGATGTGTTCTCCACATCGGTCTCTAGTTATGTAACCCATGTGTTATGTTCCCCGCTCAGCCAGTGAGCAGCCGGTCATGTATGTATGGCCAAAGATGGTTGATAGATCTCGCACTGTGGATAAAGAGAAGCATATCCTCTGTTATCTTAGAGCATTACGCTAACTTTGGTGGAACAAACCTGCATGCAGACAGATTATTTCCCACATGATCAATTTTTTCCATTAGTGGAGATGTCCAGTGCTAGAAATGGCATTTGTAATGCACGGTCACTATCCACGTTTACAAGTGCTGGCTATTACACAATATCACCCCCTATGCAAAGAGTAAACTAATTGACAAATTGCTAGAACAAACAGAAGGTCACCATATCAATCAAACCTTTACCTTTCAGATACAATTCTGCTGAGTCTTCTCTCCGTACAGGCTAAGTGGATGGTGACCTTACAAAAAAGCTACAGGGAGGAATTAGCTGAGCTCCAGTGTCGGTTACACATAAGAGGGGGAGACAAGTGGGGAAGTAAGATGGGAAACTTGGGTTTGGATGAGGGATGGTCATCGTACTGCTGAACCCTATGCAGACAGGGCTGATTGACCTGATTAGGACCAGTAATCCGCTGTCTTTCCTCAGGTCGCCACGCCCTGCTGCCGTAATCTCTGTGACCCTTGTAGGTGTACGCATAGCCACATACAACCGCAGAGGGTGTTACATTCCTCATCGCCTCATGCTGGGATTGTTTTGGAGCGACACACATTTGCCCACACGCGCTACTTACAGAGCAGACTCACACATTCCAGACTGACCTCCTAATGAAGAGGGAGGACAGGCAGATGTCTGTGTCTGTTATCAGCTCGTGCTGTGTCATGAGACTTAAAGGCCAGAGGCACAAAATCATGTCATGCAGCTCAGCCAGTTTTCAATACACCCACCTGTAACAGCTGTATAAGAGGAAGTGACGGAAAGTTTGAATTATTGTGCTATATTGAAATAAAATTAAAAAAAACTTTTCATAATAATAACCAGGAAGAGACAATAATCATGTGAGTCCGGGTGAGAGGAAATGTAATCATGCACCTATCGCTGTCATAAATCTATATGTGGTCATCTTCTATACTGAGTATTCAAATCAACAAAATCAGTTTTCTGCTGCTGCAAAAACATCTTGAATGAATGAATAAAAGCTTCTCACATCTTTTCCTTTTCATATCATGTTCTCTAGTTTTCTTTGGCTCATGATGTTGCATTTTTGCCCTTATATCCTCTTTATAAAGTTTTGATCTCAATGATGCAAGTTGTTGTGTGATGCTGAGGTAGTTATTAAACTGAATAATAACACAGTGGTTAGTTTCGGGATTGTTAATGCAGATTGGGTTAAGGTGTATGTCTGGATGGATGTTGACCCAATTGAACCAATATTTAATTTGAATCATGAGTCTCAATATCAGGTTTTTATGATGGCTAGATTCTTGATTATTGAAATCTTCTCTGAATGAGACGGGCATAAAATCTGTTTAGGTGAAATTCTGTTCATGCAATCAGCGTTAAATTCCAAGTTTACATTGCAAACTAAAAAGGGACACAAAGCCATGGGGCCTTTCCTGTTAGCGCTGAATCCTTTGTCATTAATAAATGTTTTGCAATGAATAAGAAACCACAACATGGCATTGCACATCAGGGATGGGCTGAAGGCTGGAATGTACTAGAAGTGGTAGAG